TCTTGGGTTAAAGAGATCCTAGGCAGTTTGTTCTGTGGAAATGTATTGACAGAACTGAAACAGAGAGAGAAAGAGAGAGGCGAAGTGAATAGAAGAACAGCTAAGCGGCAGAAATTGCGTGTACCACTATATTTTCGACGTGTGGAGCTGGAATACTTATGATTCGGCAATCGGTAGCCATTTTCATGGATCCCTGAGGCTTCAGCTTCAAGGTTAGCCATCTGTACACAAAGAAACTCCCACTTTAGAATAGCCAGCTATTATGCAAGATAAACAAAGGAAACAATATGCAAGACCAATATTAAACAACTCAACCAAGCCAAAACAATCATAAACAACTCCCACTTTACCTCTAGCTGCTTCAATGCATCAAACAACTTTGTCCGTTCCTCGTGCAGAAGTTTAACTTGTTGTTGAACCTCAGAGAACTCTGAATCCACTATCTCTTCACACTCTTTAATAAGACTCTCGTTTATTCCCTCTTCACGCAACCGACTCTTTAGCCTCTCGGTAGATATGGATAAATCCTTTGGTGATAAGAAGGAGAAATCCCCACTTAGTGACTGGAAAGGTAAGATTTCTCTAGTACATGCTAAAGCTTGTAACCATGCTGCTCTATCACTTCTTGAATCAGTCCTCAGATGAAGAGTCTTGGTTGCAGTAAATATATAAAACTTTCTATTATCAGATTTGCTTTCTCGGTAAGACGAAACCTGCTGGAAAACAAAATAATGGAATGATATTTTAATCTAATTACAGGCTCTAGCCCTCAAGCCAGGTATCCTAACAAAGCAGACAAGCTTATATCAACAATCACAAGATCCATATTTCAATTTTCAACTAACAAATGAAAAGCAAACACAAAGGTTTATAACTCTGACAAGTTACCAAACAAATATGCCAAGAAATCCCTAAAAAGTGGCTTGAAGTTCCCACACTTCATTATTAACTACCAACTAGTTATACCTACCATTCATCAATCATGTAGAAACTTCATGAAAAAAATATAACTAAACCTACTGGTCAATGATCCAAGGAATATACCATTCCACATCAGTTATTGGCCTAAGGATAAGATGGCAAACAAAGAAAAGTTCATATATTGGAATAGGCGCTGTCAATACAAATCAAAAGAACTCAAGCAGAAGCCTTTCAAGATACTTCAAAAAAAAATCAAATGATAGATTTTCGCAATGTGAACAAAGATGACACATTTCAACACTTCTGGCCTTTTCTACAATTGATGGAAAATGTGTTATGTTAATGGTGTTCAACGAAAAGGGACCCTAGTGCTGCAATACTAGATTGTAGTAGCACCAGCCAAAAAGAGTTTTTGTATTTTGGTTATTTGGTTTTTCCGTAATGAGCTTTTAAACTTTGACACCAGAGAAAACCTGTTCATGTGGCCCACTACAGATAAGCAGAAGCTAAAAAAGCTTTGTAGAAACCAAAAGAGGTTCTCTTAACTATATAGTAATACGGAAGAAGATAATCGAAACAAAGAAATGAAATGCATAGTGACAAACTACAGAAGTACAATCACAGGAGATAAGAAGAAGAAGACGACGACGATACTCTCCTCTGTCAGAGAAATCACATTTAAGGTCTTTAGTCTGTTTCACTAACAAACACGGTGAAAAACTCCAGAAATCAACTGGTTTCTTTCTTTGTCTCTAATCGGAGACTATTCAAATCCCCAGAAAAGTCAATTTCGAAAAAAAATTGCAGAACGGAAATCAATAAATCACGAAATTGGATAATCACAAACCAAAATGGGAGAAAAAATCACGCCGTTGCTATTTCAATACTCAATCTTAAGCTTTCGACTTAGAGAGAACTATCAATGCATACCTTGAGATGAACAATGCCGAGGGATTTCTGGTGTTTCGGACGACCACGGCCACTGCAACTAGTCATCCTCAAGAGACGATCAGTAGAAATATCTCCGATTAGCCTCACATCCTCTGAAGGAGTAAACTGGTTTACATTCTCCGGCCGCTGGATCTTAGAGTAGGATAAGATTCCGTCGCGGAGGAGAAACCACCTGGATCTCCACCCTTTTCCGTAATTAGTCCACTTGTAGAGAATCCCAGCCACCGATCTCCCAGATGGCAGCTTCTCCCGATCGGATCCGCCGTTCTCCGATATCGCATCCGTCGCCGGAAGACTCATTGACCTAGTCAAAGGCATCGCCGACTTTGGAGAAATCTCAGTAATCCCGTTGCAGCAATTTTTTTAGTTATTTCAGAGATTCAGATAAATTGAGCGACAGAGAGAGAGAGAGAGATTGCGTAAAAATTGAAAGAAACTATATATATGAAGGATTTATGCGCATATACTTATGTATATGCGTCATGCGTGTCTGCACGTTATGCATAAATACATATGTACATACATAAATGATACGTTCGTCAAAAAAAAAAAAAAAAATGATACGTTGACACGACTTTTTGTTTCATTGGTTATATAACTAGAATTTATTCGAGTTTTACAATAGAATTACTGTTAATTGTATTAACTGGATCATAAATAGCTAAAGATTCGACAACTGTTTCTACGTATAACAGCCGTTGCAATAATTTTATTCCATAAACAGATAGAAATCATTTACCTTGCAAATAGATTTTTTTATTGCCTATATAAATATAACTCATGCACTGTAACCATACAAAAATATGTAAGCACTGTTTGCACTTTGACCATACAAAAATATGTAAGCACTGTACTTGATTTGGATGATGATACAAATTGCAATTGATTTGATGCCACTTTTATATAATCTTCAATGTGGTGGCCCTTCTTCTTCTAGCTTAAATGTACTTAGTCTCAATCTCATGTCTAATTTTTCTGGTCATTTATATTAGATCATTAGGGTAGATATTTAATTTTGTTGGTTTTCTTGGTTAAATTGTATCCGTAATACCGATATATTATTTTAAACAATTTGAGCTGAAGAAAGAAACATACTATTAAAAATAAGAACCACCAAGATAATACATCAATCCAATAGGAGGATCTCATTGATCAAATGAGCTCATGGTTTTGGGTTTCTTGATGCAGACCTTACTCATGTTACATGTTTAGTGCCTAGAAAACGGAGTTTAGAGGCAATGCCAAATTCGATATGATATTTTTGAATTATCTGTGTTTGTTTCAAAATATGCAAATCAAAATCACTGAACCAATTAGTTCTTTTTTGTATGAAATAATTTTTATTTCTTTTTTGCTTTTCTTTAATATGTTTCTTTTTATTGAAATAATTTAAGTTTTGATTCACATCTCAAATTCGTAGTTTGATTTTTCTTTCAAGACATTTTTTTGGTAAACATGTGGCAGACACATAAACTATTGAATTTAAATCTGAATGTTGACGTTAATAAAAATTGGTCAATTACATTAGAAAGTTATGTATTTAACCAAAAAAATCCAACCACTACAAAAAGATGTGCTGGAGTGTTGTAAATCTTAAAGTTGTCGCTTCATGTTATTGCAAATTGAAGTGTGACATATTTTGTCTTATTGTGCATACATAATTTCCAATAGTGACGCATTACCCGTCGGCCGTCGCACCCTTTTCATATGCCTATATACTTTTGGTTTTATAGTTTATAAGTTTGTTTCACCAACAAATCTTATGCAATTAGATAATGTAATAATTATATTAAAAGATTATAGTTCGTTTCGCTGAATCCGACGTTCTAACATATATGATATATCATACGTTAAAGCTATTTCGTAATTTATGAGTATGCTTGAGAGTTGAATTATCTACTATCGGAGATTCAATATAAGATGCTTTTAGGGGTCCTTTGGTCTGCATTAAATCCCTTTGTACTCTCTTTTACTCTATCTTGTTTTGATATGTTCGTAGGACTAGCTAGCAATGTTCTTGCTGATTCCTTAGCTAAGGAAGCTTTATCTTGCATGAACTCATCTTTCTCTATATATATAAAGTATCATTCTTTGGTTTTCTTTGATATTTTTACTACGCTTAGATCAAATGAACGAGGTATTGTTTCGTTTATTGGTGGTGTATTGGTGTGCATGTAATATTTAATATATGGAATCATGGAAGTGAAATTGTCGTATACGTAAATTGCACGCATAGATGTTTCCGAGAGTTCATTATAATACGAACTTGTATAAGATAAAGTTGCCTAAGGAAGATATATGAAATTAATTAACTCTAAATATATCTTCCGATTCTTCTTCTTATACGTTACTTACAAAAACAATAAATTATCTGAATCAAACGAATTTGAAAGTTCCCATTTATGATTACTGTCATCGTTGTTATTATTGCAATATATAAATACGTCAATAAATACTCCACCCGACATTAGACTTTACTCATTTCAGCTCTCAACATGTTAAAAAAACCAAACACATTCCCATAGGCCATAGCCATTTTCCCCATTAAATGAATTTTATCATCTTCACCAGCTGCTTTTAATTATTAAACTTGTCTCGTTTATAATTTCCTTCTCCAACAGCTTTTAATCCATAAATAATGAATACACATCAATTTCACCAAATTCAGATTCGTATTTATAAACAAACACATACAACGATGATATGATTACGAGTGTTTATATTTACAAAAATTCGTAATGCTGCATGCGTGAGGTGCATAATACTAAGCAAAATAAATTGTTTATTCACAAAATCTTCCCCTTTAATTTTTGAAATTTAAATCCATGATTAAGAAAACAATTATAAACAAAAAAATGATTAAAAATAGACAAAAAGCTGAGCATTCACGTCAAAACCGAAGATTATAAGGGTAATGTCGTCTTTTGACAAGAACACCAACCGATAAAACGCCCATTTTTAAGAAGGCGGGACAATATTCATACGTACATTTATACATACACACAAACACATTATTCACAGCAACAACAACAAAAAACTTCAAATCCCTCACAAATTCCTAAGCATTTAATTTCTAAATCCGAGAGAGAAAGATTTACCAAACCCGTATTCGTATCCAGTATCCAAATATGCCGATCGGGTGGGTCAAATCCTTACATTGCAAATCAAAAGCTTTCGACGATGTCTATCATCACTCCAACAACGGTAAACTCTTGATGCCAAGTTACAGTTGCAGAAAATCCGTTAAAGACGTCGTCGATACCCGACCCGGATCCGGTAAGAAGGTCCCAAAACATGATCCGAGTATAAGGCGTCTGCGATCCTCTCGTCGACCCGAATCAGAATCCAATTCTTCTTATCACCCGACCCGAAGAAGCGTATCCATGAGAGCTTCCTCCGAATCTGCATTGCCCGTGTTGACCGATCTTCCCGATGGTCATCCGTCGAGAAACGTCGTGGAGATTATATTCCAATCTAGCTGGAGCTCCGAAGAGTTTCCGGGTCGGGTCGAGATGATTTTCAAAGTTGAGAACGGGTCGAGAGCTGTGACCCGGTTCGAGGAATACAGAGAGACTGTGAAATCGCGATCGCAGTCAAAATTGGATTACGAAAACGGCGCGTGCGACGAGGACGCGAGGTGTTCGGCGGACGGGAACGAGATGATGAGGTTTTATCCGTTGGGTCCGATTCCGGGCGGGATTAACGGCGGCGCGTGGGGATTTCCCGGTGGTAAAGGAGCGGCGGTTGGCACGTTTTCCGGGAGCGGTGAAGCGCATGATAGCACAGGCGGCGGAGGAGGGAGGAGAGCGATGCTGATTTGTAGAGTTATAGCGGGTCGGATTGCTGAGAAAGGCGAGTTCGGGTCGGATTCGGTGGCGGGTCGTCGGGCTGGTGAGCTGATTGTCTTCGATGCACGCGCGGTGTTGCCTTGTTTCTTAATCTTCTTCAGATTGTAAAAAACAATTTTAATTATATAAACCAATAAAAACGAAAATTTTAATGTATTCTGGTTCCATATTGTTTTAACAAAAATCTGCGTTTTATTTCTTCAAAGTTTCTTATTTATATTTTAAATTTTTGTTCAATTGTTTGGTACATCTTTAAGCCTTTAAGGTTTCAATCTTACGTTTAAAGTTTCATGCATTGGCAGAATCTCGATACATAAAAAAAAAAAAAAAAATCTCGATACATCTTTGATTCATGGCAAATTAAATGGTTAAAATATACGTTGATTCTATATAACTGATGTTTTATTGAATGCAAAATCTTAAATATCTATGGGGTGATTGGTTGTGGTTGTAGAAGTTGTAGAAAGCAAAAAAAAAAATCTAAAGCCAAATAGATCACCAATCATGCTTTATACTTTTTTTTTAAAACCTACAGCCTTCTTTCATTTCTTTCATTTTTCCTTCCTTTTTTAGTTTTGCAGAGCAAAATTTCTAGAGTATAATTTTAAAGGTTCTGAATTTCTTTTTTTCTCTCTCTTTGATTCTTTCCAAATATATTGTTTTTTCTTTACTTTTTTCCTTATTATTATTTTCTATATTTACCTATTTCTTTTTTTACTAAAATCCTGCAGTTAATATCCTAAAGCAACAATTTCACAGCCACATCCATAAAACATAAAGCAAAAATTCTATAGCAAAAAAAAAAAAGCTAAAGCAACAACCAATCACCCCCTATATATATGTTCAACTGAGATTGTGTCTCTTCTTTGTCGTTTTAATAAATGAACTTCATATATATACAAGTAGTCATAATTCGTTGACTTGGAAGAGACAACTCATATACAAAGTTGCAATTTGCAAACCATACATAGGTCAATAACTCAATATAAATAATTTCTCTTATTTGTTTTTACTTGTTATCTCAGTTAATAATTAGTGGGAAAATAAAACTTAAAGAAGACTAGTATTTGTCGCTTTGGTCTTCAAATTATGATAGAAATGAAAGAGAAATTTTTAGAACAATGATACAAAATGATTAAAATGTGTGAAGAAAGGGTACGCTATGATTTGAATCAAATGAATAAATGATGCTATGAGAAATTGTAGAGAAGGGAGCCGTTGATTGCGATATTTTCACAATTTTGCAAATGATGAATTTTGGGGGGTTTGTTAGATATTTAATTATTTATGCACCGACACACGCATAACGATTAATGAGTTTTAATATACGGATACCATTTAACTTAATTTGTTGGTGAGGGTGATTTTGATTGACTTAAAAAGAGTAATCAGGAAAGATAATCATGCACTTTAACATTTCTAACAGAAGTTAGTTATGGATTAACTATAATATTTGTTGGTGAGGCTGATTTAGTTTGACGCAGAAAGGGTAATCAGAGATAGATAATCATGAAAACTTGGTAGAAGACTAATATACATTATGATGATCTATAATTACAGTACCAAGTGGAACTCCTTATAATACTTCTCCACATTTAAATATTTCATTCCTGTGTAATAATGTTGTTTCACTAGATTATCTGTAAGACAAACATAAAAGCATAATAACAGACAATACATGTGGGTATGTGTTCGAGATAAAAATTTGAAATTTCGAATTGTAGGAGATTTTTCTTTTGAAGCAACAATTTGATATTAAATTATTGTATATATCTGTTTTGTATTTTTAGCATTCATATGAAATTATAAGAAATCTAAAACCAAACAATTTTTATAAACTATCTTAGAGAAACTTATCCCGCAGTATACAATAGTATTAATTAGTTCAATGCTGTGGGGAATAAGGACACTGTCTCTTGCATCCGGAGTCTTGAAAAAGGTTCCCCCGCAAGCGTCTCATACTTATAGGTCTAGATACATTTTTATCTCATAATATTCCTTTTGGTTCCAGATGTAAATATATTGCGAGTTTATATATATATATATATATATATATATATATATATATATATATATAGCTAGGTGCTTTTCATATAACTATGAGATGAGAGGGACAACCAAACAGATATGAATGAGAGACAGAAGTAAAACACAAGTAATTAACATTTGTTAAGTTTGATTTGAAACTTATATTTCAAGTTTCGTTATATTTTTGGGACCCTATATTTTTTAACCCATTCAACCACTTATATTTGTCCAATTCAGCATGAAGCTCTAACCTTCTAAGTATAACCATTTAAATACTGTTCGTGACACAAAAAAAAAAAAAAAAAAAAAAAACCATTTAAATACAATATCTAGTATATAAGGGTGAGCACATGTATGAGTATGACATAAGAAAGAAAGAAAGAAACAAATTGAGTGCTGATAAGTGATAACAAAAAAAGGAGCAAAAACCATAATTAAATTATCTTTTTGTATAAGACAGTATCATATTGGTAACTAAAACATGTGATCATTTTTCATCATATCTGAGATGACTGCCCTATATTGACATTTTACTAAATTACAGAAAGTATCAAGAAACTCAATAAGACAATACGGTTTTTGGGTTTTCGATCTCTTAAAACTAAAACAAGAAAAGCAAGAATAAATTCAAAATATATGATGAATTAAAAGATCACTAAGAGACTTCACCTATTATCGACTCGGTGTATTGCATCCAGTTCAGTTACCATCCTGTTAACGTTTTATTAGTGTCCTCCGTTATTAACAAAAATACTTCATCTATTATCGACCCGATGGTCATCGATCGGACTAGTTATCTCAAATCGTTCACTGAAAGAGAGTACTGTCACGTCTTTGGTTTCAACTCAACTACCATTTGGTCTTATAGTAACTTTACTTGATGCGATTCCGCGTTAAGGTATCCCACACAATAGAGTGTGATGAAACATTGAGTGATATATAAGTAATGTGGACAATCCAATTATTGCCAATTAGTTTTTAGTTAGAAATCATAAAACTGGATATATTGTCGATTCTACAGGTGTTAGTATTCCACGTTGGAAGAATCATTCTACTCAATTGAATTTTAGTTTGCAATTTATGAAACTTACCATTTATGGCTCGTCTAGCAAGGTTTTGTTGTGTATTTGTCTCTTTCTATCAACCTTTACATTTATCTATATACTTTTGTTTTTGGGTCTCAAGAAGAGTTTTTCTTCATAATAAGCCTCTTGTAATAAACTAATAATGCTTATTTGTTTTCAGGCGATTACAGTTATATATATTATTCTGTTTGTATTTAAATTGTAACTGTATCGAAAAGAAACAAATACAATTGTATATAGTTTTCTCATTTGAGTCTATTTTTAGTTCAAGAAATCTCTTCATTATACAGTAAATGTCAATTCTTAAGCTTTTAAACTCTCGTTAATCAATTGCTTTAACATTGCTAGAATAAAAATATTTAGTCATGAACCAAGCCCCTTAAATTCCCATTGGAGATTCGCATACATAGATGGAACACGAAGCTTTGCGACCAACAATTTTAACGTATAATCTTAGCCTGTTAATGGCATTTAAAATTTAAAACGGAATTAACCGATTAATTTTATCCACGTGATAAATAGTGGCATCATCGATACTCAACGAGCACACACAGTGGCTTTCCCTCTAAACGCTCCCTTCCCTGCAAATTTTTACCATCGTGAAATCTTCAAACTATTTTGAATATAATTATGAAGGTAACAAGAAAATAAATTTTCATAAATACTAACTTACCTTTAATTCTGGTAACTCGATAACGCATGCACATTCAACCACTTCTGCTCCAACCCTCTCTAACACAGTCCAAAATTATTCATCAAGATTAGTGAAAATGTAGCAGGAATAGGTTTTTTGTTTCCGAAGTGTAGAAAATATTAAGATATAAGCATATATTTCAACTAATTATGGTTTCAGTTTTTGATGCAATATATATTACTAGTTTTTATCCTCAAACGATATGTTCATCTGTCGACTTATCAGTCATCACCGTCTGTCAAACACTATAGTCATATTAATTAGCTGAAATCTTTTTTTGAAGAAAAGACTCAAAATTAGTGCTTTTGTGTTACCAAAACCAAGAATTTCCAAAAATACCACAAACAATTTTACCGAGCAAATTCATGGCAGCACAGAGAGTCCCACCAGTAGCAATCAGATCATCAACGACTAATGCTCGATCACCGGAACCCACAGCACCGACGTGCATCTCCAGCCGGTCACTTCCGTACTCCAGCTCATACTCTTCAAATATTATTTCACCTGATATGAATCATATAATTAGACCCCACATACTTGATTTTGGTAAGCATTACACAATATTGCTTGACATATACAAATAAGAAAATACATGTTATATATAAAAGTTTGGAATGGTGTTTTACCGGGCAATTTTTTGGGTTTACGAAGGGGAACGAATTTTGCTCCAATGGCTAATGCGATGGGTGGACCGAATATGAAACCGCGAGCCTCTACACCTATAATAAATAAGAATATAAAGATGAGTGATATGGGTGAATACCCATAGATACTTTGAAAATTAGCTAAATACCAATGCATAGTTGTAAATTAGTTTTTGGTGGAGAGAGAACAAAAATTAAACCGAATTTGTCCTTTTTATTTTTAGTAATTACAGAAAATGCCATTGCCGTAAAAACTTATTTTCTGATAGAGCAAATCGGAAACACTATTCAAGCCATGGTCAGAAATACTGCTCATAATCTATTTAGAAAAACTATTCACTTGATTTAAAAATAATAACATAATTATCATATCAAACAATTATCAAACTAATAAAGTTATCATATAAAATAAGAGAAATGTTTTGTGAAAAATGTTATCGTGTTAAACAAGTTAGCATACTTTAAACAAATTAGCATGTTAAAAAAATATAAACCTATTAACTTACACATTAATTTTCGTGTTAACATAGTTATCATCTCAAAAAATTAATGTGTTACTCAAATTATCATGCTAAAAAATTATAACCCTGTTAACTTACACATTAATTTTCATATTAACATAGTTATTATATTAAAAAATTATCAAGCTAATCAAATTATCATGCTAAAAATTTATAAACTTGTTAACTTACACATTAATTTTCATGTTAACATAGTTATCATATCAAAAAATTATCAAGCTAATCAAGTTGTCATAATTTAGAAAATATAAAATATAAAATAAAAGAATTAACTTACTAACTCTTAACTAGTTAACTTGCTAATAAGAGAATTAGTGTATTATCATCACCTCAATATTATCGCAGCTGTCACCACCAGCTTCTTCTTCCTCCGCCTCCTCCTTCATCTTACTTCCCCTTTCCATATTCAACTTAATTGACTTCAAATCATTCTCCTCATCATCATGAACCATCCATAATTTCCAACATCCAACGAATCTCCGAAGATCCTTTTTCCTCTTGGCCATCCAAAATCCGCCGGATCTCCTTCTTCTGAAGCTTCATCGGATCCAAAACCCGCCGGAACAGACCCGCCTGATTTCCAACTCAAAATTCGTCTCCATAAGCTTCATCTGAAGCCTCTCTTCCTCCAGAACATCAGCTACATGCATCATCTTTCTCTTTTTCTCCATCTTTTTCCTTTTCCTCTATTCTCTCTCTCCATCTCCATCTCCATCTCCATCTCCATCTCCGTAATCAAAGAGAAGAGAGAGAGAAAATTCATCTCTAACCTTCGGCCCATCTTCTGATTCTCCTTCTCCTTCCCCTTTTTTTTCTTTTTATCTCATCAGTTTTTTTACGACTTCATCGGCCGCCGCCGTATAGCTTCGGAAAAAAAAAACTAAAACTTAATCGTAAATAAACACAAGAATGGGTATTTTTAGAATTTCACCAATAAACATGTGGGGCCGCACAGTATATAATGTGTCAGTTAATTTTGGAAGTATTGATGGGTAGTTTGTGGTATTACTCTATAAAGATTATTAATTTTCATTCGTATATGAAATAGAAATTAGGGTCAACATGAATAGGACACTACGTGCATGCGAGCCACCCATGAGAAGCCCTAATTCTTCGAATGTTAAAGAACATTTCTGTAAAGGAAGAGAAACAGTCCAAAGCATTGACTTTACGAAAAGAAAGAAAAATGGCTCTTACGTCCATAGAGCAAAGGCAAGAGACAGATTCTAGGGCACAGGCCAACACAAGATAAAAGAAAGGACTAAATTAATATGGATGTGATTATGTGAACTTGTACCGTGCCTTGCCATCGTAGTACACTGTACACATTTTTCCATTAAAAACTAAATCGTCACAATATCTCCTTCGCTTAAATTGGACATCCTAACCGAATAATGTAAGTATGTAACATCACCCAACATCATGTAAAATCGTTGGGTAAATAAAAACAAACGAAATAATGGTAGATAATAATGAAACATCACCCAACATAGAGTTTTCTCAACAAAAAAAAAAAAAAAAAAGAAAAAATCACCCAACATTGAGAGAAAGAGAGCCGTCGAATAACAATGATGAGAGGAAAATAGAAATTAAATAATAAACTAAGCGTTATTTAGGGGCCAATCCTTTAAAGAAGGAGGCATCCATAACTCAACCACCCATTTTTCCAAAAAAGATTCCACCACTTGCATTTCCAGTGTTTATGTTTCAGTTTTTTTTTTCAGTGTATCAAACACCATATTGTTTTCATCTCAGGTGTGGTTAGAGTTTAGTTCACTTGTGGTAACATCCTTACCACACTATGGCACAATAGTATGATAACAATATAAATCAGCTCCCCCCGATTTTGATCATATCTTATTAAATTCATAATTAAATATTCTTTTGCCCACTCGAGGTTTTATAAATTCTTTAAAGTAAGATAAAGTATAGAATAAATTAGTGTTTGTTTGGCTTTTTAATTCAGGGATATGTATATATACCGGTAAAAAAAATAGAAACAAAAATACCTGCAACAACCGAGATGTTCATGTCTCGATACCTCTCAACAAACAGATCAATAGTGTCTTTAAAGGCTTTAGGATCAAGCAGCAGTGTTGTTATGTCTTGGAACATTATTCCTGCAATGTTCCCAAATATTATTCTTATTAATATAAACACATTTTTTAATCAAGAAATTAGTACTTGTAATGTATCCATAAGTTCGCAGGTCGTCTAAGAAAAATCGACCGTGATGAATCTGGTGAATGTGATCATAGTATTACAATTTTCTTAGCAACCAAAACAAAGACCTAAAAAAGTTTTCTAAGACAAGAATATAACTCAAATTCTCTCATTGCACAGTCACGGGAAAGGTCGAAGAAAGGCATAAGACTTCAAAGGGGAAAAACATAAATTTTGATAAGAAAATATAGTGAACAAACAAAAAAAGCTACCTTTCTTGGGAAAATCTGGAACGACACGGATCTTAGTTTTGATGCCGTCGATACGAGGATCCTTGACTTCGTCCACAGACATTTTCAAATAACTCAAACAACCCAAAAGGAAATGTTTGAAAGTCAATCGGATTCAAAGGGAAATTGCTCCGACTTTTATTAACCTTGTTTTGGTCTCTCAGAGAGAGAGAAAGAAAGTTAATGCAAAGAATGGAAGAGAATGCGTCGTAGCGAGTTACTTATAAGAGAATAATATTGTGATATTTTATTTCCAAGATTTTGTTTTTCAGAAGAGTGGTCCTTTACTACTTGGTTGATCAAGTGTTTGTTTAATGTTTCATAATCCCATATATTAGGAATCAATTATAAATGTAACATTTTTTCATAATTTCTTTATAAGTGTCTTTAAAATTATTTGAAATTCATAAGATGTGCTTTTTATATATATTACCTGATATTTTCAAGTAAAAAACCTTGTAATGACTTCAATGTATGTTCTCAAATTACTAGATTAAGAACAATGAAACTTTAGAACATATTTATAAAGATTATAACCAATACCATCATATTTTAAAATACTTTTCAAAACTTCATGATTGAATAGCATATAATGTCATTTTATCCCAAATTATTTAAAAAAAATATTGGATTGATCATACTCCTTAATTAATTTGTTTATTAAACTGAAAAATAATTGAATTATCACATTGTAAACAATGTTTAAGTTTTAATGAAAAGGGTTGCACAAACAAAGGTAATGATCACATGATCTTAAATATGATATAGAGTGGCAAATATATCTATCAGATAGGGTTTTCGAAACTTTTAACCAAGAAAACTGAATATTGCAAAACTAAAAAATTTCAATTAAAGAATATATGAAAAAGAAAGAAAGAAAAGTGAAAATGAAAGTGATGTCTCTTATGTTTGAGCTAGTGTGTGGGACAGTCGTTGGAATAACAAAAAGCCTAAAAGACAACCACCTTTTGAATTGTGATTGGCCATTCGATGTTCCCATTTAACCTTTTTACCCCTTCTCATTCATTTTTCAAGTAATTTTGTCTTCTATTTTCCTGCAATTTTGCCTGTCAATCAGTTATGGCATAAAATCTGAACTTTTCATTTTCGAAAATATAAATAAATGTCTTCAACATGTATTGTGTCACAAGTCATATCACCATCACTGCATCACATGCGGCAAGAATAAATGAGTACGAGTACAGTATAAAGAATTTTATGACAATCTACTTAGTAAAAAAGTAGTATTATGAGAACATATATATTGTAGTAACTTTGAAACTATTTAAAGGAATACTTAACATATAGGCAATAAACCAATATTAATTTTTAATTACCAACTTTTAAAAGTAATTGAATTTGTAAATATGTGTTAAAATGACATGCATATCTTTTAAGAAAATACTGTATTTTTAATTTTTATAGGTGTAACATTTTGACTGTTAAATCACGTGTCGAAACTGGACAAATCCATTGAAAAGTGTTAGTCCCTCCCTTGTCCATTCAAGGGGCTCGCATGAGATGGTTTTCTCTTCTAGTCTTCTTACATGATTATATTATAGTGGAGTACTGACTGACCCAACGACATACTCCCAAAGCATGCATACCCTTTTGTTTTATATGGCAGAACGTAGACTTGGCCTATCACAAACAAAGCCAAACCAATCATCAGACCAGGCTGCATCAAAAAAATTATACTTTTTTGTTTGTTAATTTCAATTAATGGAACAAGAAAAAAACAGATACTCTTTTGTTTTATAATTTATTTATATATTTTGAATAATGCTAGAGTATCATTTTACTATATACACGATCAGAAATAATAAATTGCGACGACTTGGTGATGACCTAGTTAAGGAGTTTGTTTGGGACTCTTTGAAAACAATGTATTGCCTAAAAATCTGAGAAATTTCCTCACGTTCCGATCACGCCAAATAAACCAAGTCGCGGATGCAATGGTTAAACATACTTTCTGTTACAACTTCTGAAGCATATTTACTGGACTAATTGACTTTGGCCAATTGTACTATCAGACTGCAAAACACTGCCAAAATGAATTTCAATATTTTGCGTCTGCTTTCATTATATAATATTTTGCGTTTGAAACAAAAAAAACCTGTCATCCTCTGCCGTGTCTTACTGTTTGGCAGGAACCACAACGGTGTTGAAACAATTGATCATTTTGTAGTATATTAAATTTATATATGTAGTCGTTCCAAAGAATGTATTATTTAAGATGCTTAAACTACATCCATTTTGTTTGTATAGTACTGTAGTTGGATGTCAACCCATTATTAGTGTAGCTAGAACTTTCTAGTACAACTGTACACGTATTACCATTTGACATTTGTTGTGACCGAAATTCATTCTTTACATATATACACCCAATTCGTACACATCGATATTCAATACGTTCAAGTTCGTGTAGCTAATTTTTCAGCTAGACTATCAGGCCCATCCGCCCATGGGCTGATAATAATCTACCTTTTTCTTTGGTATTATTTAGATAGACACTTAATAGGTATATATATAGGGCTGGATCTTTTGTTGCAACGTAGTTTGTGTGTTTCAAGAGAGGTTTTTGTGACCGTAGTTTGGCCATGGGCATCTAAGGTGAGGTTTCTATGAAGGTTTTCCAGAAGTTTGAAGCCATGTTCTGTTGATTTGCTCTATTTTTGTTGTACACTTTCGTTCGTTTCGGTTAAAATGTCTCTAGAGAATTGTTTTTCCGTGGGCCACCGGACTAGTGCCTTTCATCAACCAAATGTGTTTGTATTACTGTGATTAGTTAAGATTGACTTTTTGATAAGGCATCACAATTAGAGACATTTATAAAACTATAGCATCACAAACAAAGAAAGTGACGTCTAAGAATATTATGGTAAAACCTTGTTAAAGAAATTAACATTATATCTCTAAAAACTACATTGTTCTCTTCCCTCGTGTGTCATATTCATCGATCAGTAGATACAATTATTATTTCTAATAAGATTTATTAATGAAAACCCACCAATAATAAAATCAATAATGAGTTTGGCAGGCACCGTCTTTCAGTCTTTCTTCTGGTTTATATATTAGTTTGTTTTCGTACGATTTAAATCAATTAAAAACAATGGATGTATTCTGTATCTTTCAACGTAACTCATTGAGATTGTTTAATTTAACTTGTTGAATGGAGTTATTAGAAGTCGCAAATCATGCATGGTTCAAACATCTCGTATTAATACTAAAAAATGAATTTACTTAACGTGCATGACTAGGTAATGACGACCTTTAGAAAAAAAATGACTAGGTAATGACGCAATACTAAAAATAGTTGGTTCTTTAGTAATGATAATTAATTACATATATACACAAACGTATGTTTTGGCCTGCACTTAATAGAAGTTGAAGTTCTCAAACACACGATAAAAAAAATTGATATAACACGGGCATGAAAAATGACTGGAGAGTTTTATTCCTCGTCAGATCTGAGATTATGTGAAGTCTTCGTGACTCGTCATAAAGTACATCTTCAGTGATGCACGTGACAATTTCTCAACCGTTTACATAGCAATAAAATTCTTAGATTAAAATTGTGAGTTTCGGTTATTTCACGACCCACTTTTCTCCGAAAATAATTATGTACAAGTACATTCTAAATTTTGGTAAATTAATAATGTTATTGGTATAGAGCTCAAATGTGTAGCCATGTGATGTGATCGATTCTAGTTCATTCAGCTGATTAACATTTGCTCATTTATCAATTTAGGAGTTTAAGTTTGAGAATCGGGCTAGTTTAGCGCTTTGTATAGTTTGTAAGCTTGTATACCAAGTTCAAGAAGACAAAAGTTCGGATGCAACTAGTAACCTTTGAGAAAATTGTGTAGTTTACTAATTTTACCCACCTATTTTTGTCTATTTACATTTATTTCTATAAACAAAGTAAGAAACTATTAAAGTATTTCATAACCACAAAAGCCAAAAATGATACTGAAGCAAAACGACAACGTTTATCTAAAAAAACAAAAAAGAAGAAGCTACAACGACAACAAGGCAATGAGAGCAAATCGCAGCCGTTTATTTAGTCTCTTAAGTGGGACCTACAAAACGTTCAGTTGAATTAAAAATAGCCTGTGAATTTTTAACACTTTTTCAACTAACACCGTTTCTGACCGTTAACGTTTAACCGATATTACCCTTTTAGGCCCCCAGGATCCACGTGATCAACACAAGACCCCCGTGGCCCAAAAGCCCTTCTACACATTTTCTTAGCACGTGACCACACTCCACTATTTCAGTTTTTATTTTTGACAGTTACGAATTTGTGATTTATTTCTCTTTTTCAAAGGAAATTGAGTGGAAAAGAAGCTTTAGATTTAACTTATCGCGAACGTTGTAAAGCGAGGTTTATGTGTCGAGAAAGACAAAAGGAAACAAAAAAAAGCAAGTTCCTTTGTTGCCTTTTTTAGTATGAAGGGCCCATCTAAGGCCCAATAACACGTGGACGCGTCGATTTTTCACTTAAACACGTGTCGTCCACGCACTTTTATTCTCTTTTGACTCATTGCCACGTGTACGTTGACGGACCAAGCTTGTTAATACGGGTAACAAGTTAACAACCAACGTCCTACCGTTACGAGTATACATTACGGCTTTGATTGGTTACAATAACATGAAGCATTACAAAGTGTAATGCACATAGTGTAACCAATCATATGAACATTACACTTGTGATAATACAAAATGTGTATTACAAAAAAAGGAGCATTACAACCAAAAAGTGATGATACAAAAGGCAAAACAGTGGTTCAATGCTACTTTGTAGTAGTAGTACAAAAAGAATGATGGTACAAGAAATAAACAACAAGGTCATGGTCTCTTTTCTTCATCTTCCTTTTTTCATGTTCTTGAAATGCTATTTTAATAGAGTTGTAAAAAAAGAAAGTGATAGTACAAAGTATTTTTCTTTATTTTTTAACTAAAATTTGTAAAAGTGTTATGATTTTTTGAGGCAAAGTGAAGAAGGTGAATAATAAATTATTGAAACTTTTGCAAATAAATGAAGAGAATATACATAGGAAACTAATTTTGGCTGTGTATGTTTTAATCAAATTCCCATAAATTCTACTTAGTCAATCAAATTTTATATAAAGCATCCAAATAAAAAAATAAGAAAACAAAACAAAAACTCACACTAGACCTAACAATAAGTATTTTTGTTTATGTGTAAATGCAAAAAGTATAAAAAGAAAGCATACATTTTAATAAGTAATTTTGTTCTTGTTATGAAAGTAACCTTTTTTAATTTTTGGAACAAAGAAGTATCATAACAAAACTGAAAATTATGAAAAAAAATATACTACAAAAATTGCTTATACACTCTCAATTCTAAAGAAGTATCTTATTTATATCTTGGTAATCTGTTGGTAATTTATTTCAGTTAAAATTTATACTGTGTTTTATATATATATATATATATTTTATTTTTATTTTTATTGAATTAACTTTGAATAAAAATATATTTATTACATATGGATTAGTTTTGGTGATTTCCAAATAAAGTGAATTATCAAAAAAAAATTGAAATAATTTTTTTGTAAACCATATATACTTTTTATTTTACTAAGTACATGTGATGATCCATTTTTAAAAAAATATACATATTTAGTGTTATATTTTTAGAAACTATTTTAATTTTTAATATTTAAGTTTTTTGCCAGCTAATTTAAAAATTTCTAATAGATTTCTATTTTTTATTATAAAACATATTATTTGTACTGTTACAATGTCACCAATTGGAATTCAATTATGGCTCCGATTGGTAACGTAGTGAATAGTAGTGCATTATAAAAATTTCAGTGGTACGAAAGATGATATTACAAAAAACAGTAGTATGTAATATAACAGTATAAATAGAGATAGTACAAAATAATAGTACGTAACTGAATTTCGATTGGTAACAATGTAACATTACAAATATAATATTTTTATTATGAAAAATAGAAATAATTTAAAAATATATATTAATTGACTATAAAAAATAACTTAAATATTGAAATTCAAATATAGTCTAAAATATAATATAAAGTATTTTTTTTGTTTAGCAACACATTTGCGTTGTAAAAAGTAGTATATATTAGTTAGAAGTTTTTGTAAGAATAAAAATTTTATATTTCAAGGAAAGTTTGATAATTTGTATTGTTTAAACTTTTTTACTTTCTTATTTACTTATCAAGAGATTAATAAATAATTTACTTTCATATTTATGACATTTTTTATTTCTTGCACTGTAATTACAACTGTTCATAATTCATTCACATGTCCAAAAATCAAAAACTATATCTACACATTATTAAAATGCAACAGAAATTAATTTGCTATGGTTAAATATAAAATGAATCATAAAAATGCATGCATGTATTAATAGAAGTTGCTATATAAAATATGGATAATTTCATTAATTTTACATTAATGCAACAAAAATCACATCAATCCACAAAAGTTGCCATAATAGATACAAAGTCACATTAATGCACAAAAAATCATCTCACGTTATATGACAAACTTTAATAAATAAATTAAACAATGTTTTGTACCACCCTTATTTCTTGTAACACCATTTAAAAGTAACTTTACATTTGTTGTTTTGCTCTTTGTAACATTACTATTTTGTTGTAATGCTACTTTTTTTGTAAAATGTTTTTTGTACTATCACTTGTGTAATACTCTTTTGATTGGTAGCATATCAAACATTACAAGTTGTACTACCTCCATTTATGGTTACCAATCAAAGCCTATGTACAATCATTTTGTACTATCTCTATTTGTACTGTCATATTTCATACTACTGTTTTTCCTACAACTATCTTTGGTACCACTGAAAATTTTGTAACACACCACTATTCACAACGTCACCAATCAGACCCTACATTTATTTTTGTTATATTGCGGAATTTTGAGCCGTTGGATATGGTAAATTTGACGGCCGATGATTCGTCCCTCTCCTTCTCTTTTCTTTTTGTATTTGTTGTGCTTAGCCAATAATTAATTTAGGAAAAATAATGTACTTACTACTTCTTTCTAGTTGCAAAAACAAAAAGTTATCCTTTCCTGAAAAAAAAGGTGAAAAAATAAATGTGGTGCATTTAATAAATCGATTCTCGAGATCTCACGGAGTCCAAATTGAAAGAACATTTATTTAAAAGTCGTAATATCTTTAGGTACGTGAATTTAAGTTCAAACGCACACAGGTTTTAAACAAAAAAAAAAGTTCAAACATTGACTACGTACAAGTTTACAACAAGGATTCCACGCCATAAAAATAAATCATATTAAAGCCTTTGTTCAAACAAATAAATCAAATACTAGATGAGAAGAAGTTGAGAAGTTTTTCTGAATTACGAGAAACAAGCTGGTTAAACGGCTTTAAAGTATTATTTTTCATCCAAAAAGTTGAATCATTTGATGCCATTATGCCAATACCATGAATAATATTAAACTACCATAGTTTGTATCATATGAAGGTTCATCTTAATATGTTAAGAAAATCTTATAAAATTATTCATCAACAACCGGACCAAAATCATCGTTTTCAACAAAATAAAATAATTAAGAAAGTTCTTGTATTTTGTCGACAAGAAAGTTTTTTTTTTGTTTTTCTTTAAAAAACGAGTATGACTAATGACAAACATCATCACTTACTTACTTTATTAAATTTTATACATTAAAAAAACCTTATAACGTGATAATTATTGGTCGTCCGTTAAAGAAAAACGATGACACATTTGGTAAATAAACCCAACATGGATGGTGTTTTAGATACAGAAAAACAAAACGCGTGATAACCTTGTTAATCACGTCTCTCTCTCCATTTCTCTCAAAGTGTTTAAGACAACAAAACCGAACCCAAGAGAGTCTATAAATACCAAAAACCCTCCGCACATTTCTTCTCCCCTCTTCCTCCTACATTCTCGACTCTCTCTCTCTCTCTAATTAGGGTTTTCATAATCAGAAACAAACATCCTAAATCTCATTTCTACAGAATTTTAGACATTTTTTCTCGATCTCTAAGATTCAGTTTCTTCGATCAAAGGGATCAAAGATCTTCATATCCTATTGGAGATTTTTTTTTTCCTGCCTTTGGAGCTCGTTTGAATCAGGTTTGAAATTATCTCAACCTTTTTTTTGTTATAATATTACTGAGATTATTTTGGATCTAGCTCGATTTTTCTTTTTAAAAATAAAATTTCCAATACGTTATACTAATTTTGTGCTGTTGTTGTTGTCATTTTTTCTGTCTTCATCGAATATTTCTCACTCTCTGCATTTTTAGATCCGTTTCTGTTTCCTCGTACATAACAATATTGGTTTTCTGCAACTTCAGAATTTTATTTCGAAAAACGCACGCAATTTTGTCCGTACACCTAGAACTCTGTGCCTCAAATTTGAGTAAATTTTTATAGAAATTAAAACCTTCCATAACAACAGAACCACAATTTTTTTTTTCTCTAAAAATATGTATATGTACGAATTCAGTTTGAAGTTCCAGAAGACTAATTTGAAAAGTGTTAAAATTCTGCCGAATTGAAGACTGATTTTGACATGTTAAAATTATTTTTTTGTACTTTATTATTTTGAATATACGTGTGATTTGTCGAGTTCTGGAGTGATGTTTTAGAAGTTTGTCGGTGTTCTGTTTTAAATGCTAGATCTACCACATCAAAATTTGCATAAAAAGATGTTGAAATTTCCGGTACTTGTCACAATCACTGGTCTCTCTTTCTTTCTTTATTCTCATATAATAACATGAAGGTTAAGACAAAACTAAACAACAGGATTATCAACACATAAACAAAAACTTTTATATAAAAATGATTTTTTTTTTCCTTTTTTTCTTCAATTTTGTTAAGAGTGATATACCCCAAAAAGCATTAAATTATTTAATTTTTTGCAGAAATGATTCTTCAAGAAATCAATTTTTATATCATGACTTACTTCGTTTTTCTGGTGTGTGCAAATTATTTATAACAGGTTAATTTCGTACTGAATCTGAAAGTATATCGAAGTAATCAACGATGAATAGATTGAGATGATGATGTTAAGGTACTGCAAAACATAATCAAGAAACATAACCTTACATGAAAAAAAAAATCAAGTATTTTCTTCTTTTCTCTTTCTGATTTGTGTGTTTTTTATCCTCTGTTCATCATTAGTTTTCAGAAAACCTTCGTTTAATGGAGCTTGCACCGACAAGTAGTGACAAGATAACATTGAAGAGGTGGTTTTTCATAGACAAACGAGTCGGATAAAAAGGAAGAAAAAAAAAAGAGTTTTTGAAGATTTCTTGAATCAAAGCACTGTTCGATAGTGTTTACTAAATACTATTTAGTTAATGGAGTTAAACACAAACCACACATCCTCTGTTCTCAAAGATCCTTCACCATCAGCTAACAACAAATCAAGACTCGGTGTATCTTCTGGTAGATTCATGATGAGTCCACGGAAGAAACCAGCAAAACTCGATGATGTTAGATCAAATGGTTGGTTAGATGCAATGATTTCATCTTCTCCACCGCGTAAGAAGCTAGTTAAAGATTTCAACGTCGAAGTTGCTCCTGAAGATGATTTTGCTCAACGAGCTTGGATGGTAAATACTAAAAAAATATTATCTAATTTTTGTTTCTTGATTTCTCAATTTGTAATCCTCACCATGTTCTTGAAAATCTAAAACAGCTTAAGTATCCCTCTGCGCTTAGCTCCTTTGCGCATATTGCAGCTCAAGCAAAGAACAAGAAGATAGCTGTGTTTCTTGATTATGACGGTACTCTTTCTCAGATTGTTGATGATCCTGATCGTGCCATTATTTCTGATGCAGTAAGAAAAAAACTAAAACTCTTTTGTTAATTACTCTGTTCTGTTCTGTTTTTTTTTTGTCGTAAACATTATGCTTAAAATATTATTCTTTTGGTCTCTTAGATGCGTTCTGCAGTTAAAGATATCGCAAGTTACTTCCCAACCGCAATAATTAGCGGTAGAAGCCGTGACAAGGTAAAAATCGTAAACCGGTTAACAGAAATCCTAAACTGTAAATCGTAAAACTAATACATTTTTTCGGTTATATTCAGGTTTATCAGTTGGTAGGATTAACAGAACTTTATTACGCTGGTAGTCATGGAATGGACATAATGACTTCTCCTAATGATCCGAATTGTTTCAAATCGATTGACCAACAGGTGAAAAATCTTGATATGTTTTGCTAAATGATGATAGATGTCTTTTTGATCAAGTGAACTGAGTGATTATTAAACACGTTTGTGTGGATTTATTAGGGTAAAGAAGTGAATCTGTTTCAGCCTGCTAGAGAATTCATACCTATTATCGACGAGGTTTTTAGAACCCTTGTTGAAGAAATGAAAGATATTGAAGGTGCAAAAGTAGAGAATCACAAGTTTTGTGCAGCCGTTCATTACCGTAACGTTGATGAGAAGGTAACATAAAAATAAATAAAGAGTTATTTTATTTAGACTTTGATGGATTGTAAACAAAAATGTTTGTGTGTTTCTTTAGGATTGGCCGATCATTGCTCAGCGTGTTCATGACCACTTGAAACATTACCCTCGTCTGCGTCTAACTCATGGGAGGAAGGTGTGATTAGCCTCTAATTTTTCATGTTTGCTATTAATATTTAGAGGCTCTAATCCAGTATTTAACGATAAATCATTTTTTTTTGTTATTTTTAGGTTTTAGAGGTTCGTCCTGTGATAGACTGGAACAAAGGAAGAGCAGTCGAGTTTCTATTAGATTCTCTTGGTAACATACTAGCTATAATCTCATTTTGTGTTTCTCTTCTAAAAAAACAATGATTGTTTTACTAAATTTGCATAATTTGATCAAATCTTGTTAGGACTAAGTAACAAAGACGATTTTCTTCCTATTTACATTGGAGATGACACAACTGATGAAGATGCATTCAAGGTAAATGTTTCCAATAGTTCCATTTTATAATATTTGTGTTTTCTTTAATCAAAACAATTGAACGATTAACTAACACGATGAATCTTGCAGGTACTTCGAGATGGGAACCGAGGTTTCGGCATCTTGGTATCGTCTAAACCAAAAGAAAGCAATGCATTTTACTCCCTTAGAGACCCATCTGAGGTAATAATAACATGGAACCATTTATTGCAGTTTCTTGAATATGGGGTTTAATATACAAAGCCATAACCATATGTTACATGATGTGATATATTTGGTTGTATTGTGTATTTGTGTTTTGTTATTGTTTGTGTGTATGTACAAACTACAAAGTCATATCATATCTTACATGATGTGATATATTTTGTTCGTAGTGTTTTTGATTTTATTATGTGTTACAAAGTCATATCATATGTTACATGATGTGATATATTTTATTACTGTTGGTGTTTATGATTTTGTGTTAACTTGTCGTCTTGCAGGTGAAGAAGTTCTTAAAGACTTTGGTGAAATGGGCAAAGTTGGAAAATAATTCTACGGGTTTTTGATTATTACTATTATTAGTGGAAATCCGATTGAAACCTTATTTACCTTTTTTCTGTTTTCTTCACCCTCACAGTTTTAGTTACAGCTTAATACATATGTTCCATATATTTGTGACAACTAAGTTATTAATAAAGGTATATGTAAGTTTTCTTTTCTTATGGTGTTTATTCTAAATAAATAATATCGATCTGATCAAACCTGAACCGACAAATAAATAAAGAAATGGAGAAACTTCACCAGTGTAAAATTTGGTTGCCAAAGCAGATCCCCATAACTGATGATTTGACTCACAGTAATTTATTGTTGGGTGGTTCTGGTTCGTATGCCATATTTTCTCTTCTTGTCTTGACGTTGTTGTGGCGTTCATATCTGATGAAAGCTTCTTGTCCAATGGTGGATCTAGGCCCCAAGGTTTTCTTGTTTCAGGAATTTGTACCTACCCTTGTCTCTAGCATCTTGATAAATACTGTATAGTCAGTCAATGAGTCATAGACTTTTTTTTTTTTTTTTTTTTTTTGAGTCATAGACTTTTGGTTAGCAAGAAAAGCCAGTCCACAACCCACACAAGAAGTCAAGAACACATTGTGTAAACAAGTTTTAGCAAATGGACTATACTATTTCAAGAACAGCATGTATATCACAAACTTGCTACTACAATTTACATGCCACAAAATGACAGAGTTACAACTTACAACACTGCAAAAATTAAAGCCTGGCCAAAATTTTCCAGTTGCAAACATTCCCTAACCACTACACCCCCATAACAAGATTTGTGGCGAAACATTAAAAAATCATTACATCTCAAAACTTTTTATACCAACGATAACGTCGATAAGAAAAACAAAAACACGATCATTATCTCAATAGTCAGTCTCGTATTAAAGAGAAACCCCAAAGAATGTTTGGAATTTCAATTCGGCCCTTGCTTATTTAAACATTAAGGCCCACTAATCTTGTAGCAACCCCAATTTCAATTGAAGAAACCTAAAGCCCAAGCCCATAAGAGGTTTTCTTCCAATGCCACCACTCTCGTCGCACCTCTAAAACCCTAAAACCAACAACTAGTCGTATAAATTCACTCTGCAACACATCGCCTCTTCCTCATTTCCTAAAACCCCTTTCCCGAGAACCCGAAAACCCTAATCCCGCCTGAAACCATGGTTGAGCTCGCCGAAATCGATCGCTCGGAGAACGATGCCGCCGCCGCCGAGACCGGAGACTTCATGATCAAGCCGCAAAGCTTCACTCCAACAATCGACACATCCCACTGGCCAATCCTCCTCAAAAACTACAACCTCCTCAACGTCCGTACCGGCCACTACACCCCAATTTCCGCCGGCCACTCCCCCCTGAAACGCCCCCTCATCGATTACATCAGGTACGGTGTAATCAATCTCGACAAACCAGCTAACCCTTCCTCTCACGAGGTCGTCGCCTGGATCAAGCGAATCCTCCGCGTCGAGAAAACCGGACACAGCGGCACCCTCGACCCGAAAGTCACCGGAAACCTAATCGTCTGCATCGACAGAGCCACTCGGCTCGTGAAATCGCAGCAAGGCGCAGGTAAAGAGTACGTTTGCGTCGCTCGCCTCCACTCCGCCGTCCCCGATGTCGCCAAAGTCGCTAGAGCTCTCGAATCGCTAACCGGAGCCGTCTTCCAGAGACCTCCTCTGATCTCCGCCGTCAAAAGGCAGCTTAGGATTAGAACGATTTACCAAAGCAAGCTCCTTGAGTACGATGCGGATAGGCATTTGGTAGTTTTCTGGGTTTCTTGTGAGGCTGGGACTTACATTAGGACTATGTGTGTTCACTTGGGGTTGCTTTTAGGCGTTGGTGGCCATATGCAGGAGCTTAGGAGGGTTAGATCTGGGATTTTGGGAGAGAATGATAACATGGTGACGATGCACGATGTCATGGATGCTCAATGGATGTATGACAATTACAAGGACGAGACTTATTTGAGGAGAGTGATTATGCCTCTTGAGGTGATCTTGACGAGCTACAAGAGGCTCGTGGTGAAGGACTCTGCTGTGAATGCGATCTGTTACGGTGCTAAGCTGATGATTCCTGGTTTGTTGAGGTTTGAGAATGATATTGATGTTGGCACTGAGGTTGTTTTGATGACGACTAAAGGAGAGGCGATTGCTGTTGGGATTGCGGAGATGACGACCTCGGTGATGGCGACTTGTGACCATGGTGTTGTGGCGAAGATTAAGCGTGTGGTGATGGATAGGGATACGTATCCGAGAAAGTGGGGGTTGGGGCCGAGGGCTTCGATGAAGAAGAAGCTGATTGCTGATGGGAAGTTGGATAAGCTTGGGAGGCCTAATGAGAAGACTCCTGTTGAGTGGAGTAGGAATGTTGTTTTGCCTAGTGGTGGTGATGCTATGATTGCTGGTGCTGCTGCTGAGCCGGAGAAGGTTGAAGGGGAAGGGAAGAAGAGGAAGCATGAGGATGGTGGGAGTGAGAGTCCGGTTGCTGTTTCGACGAAGAAGGCTAAGATTAAGGATGGTGAGGTTGAGGAGAAGGTGAAGTCTTCGAAGAAGAAGAAGGATAAGGGAGAGGAGAAGGAAGAGGATGTTGTGTCTGAGAAGAAGGAGAAGAAGAAGAAGAAGAAGGAGGAGGAGAAGGAAGAGGTGGCTTCACCGAAGTCTGAGAAGTCAGAGAAGAAGAAGAAGAAGAAGAAGAGCAAGGAGACTGAGGATGGTGAGGATGAGTCGGCTGTTGAGAAGAGTGAGAAGAAGAAGAAGAAGAAGAGTAAGGAGACTGAGGAAGCTGCTGTTGATGGGGAAGAGGAATCGAAGAGTGAGAAGAAGAAGAAAAAGAAGGAGAAGAAAAAGAAGAGCAAAGACAGTGAGGATGATGAAGAATGATGAGATTGAGGTTTTGTGTTACGTACTTTAGTTGTTTTTTTATAAGTTTTGAACTTTTTTTAATTTGTGTTTTGTGGTATCTACTCTGGCAGAGTGAGACAAAAGGCATTTTTATGCTTGTAATCAACGTCTCACTTGGAGTTTACTTTTGTTTCAGTTTTTCGTTTATTTGTAAGGTTAGTTTTCAGCTGATAACTAGATCCGTTTTAAGTTAACAAAACACAGAATTGTCTTGAGCTTTAGACGATATGGTGTTCTCTCTGGTTCTTGTTGGCAATAGTGATTCTCTGGAGCAATCATTTTTTGTGTAACAGAGTATCTGCTGCATCTGATACTAACATTGTCACAAATTTGGCCAAAAAGAATAAGAAACAATATTCCGAATGCAGGCCTAGTTCTTGTAGAACATGGCCCGGTCCGAATTCTCAAACCAGAACAAAGTTAAGTAACGGATTTGGCCCAAACGAAAAAGAAAAGATATTGGGTTTTTGTTTTGGGAAGGTATATAAATTCATTTTAGGTAATTTATTCCCAAACAAATGTCGAAAGTAAAGTTACATTTAAAAAACAAAATTAAAATCATTCTGATACAACACGACTACAGAAAGATAAAACATGATTCATACTGGACCACGTGTATCCACCCCACTTGTCAACCTGATCCTTATACGTGTTTATGTAATAATTTGCACACAAAAGACGTATCTGACAAATAGAAAAGAGTTAGATAAACAATAAATAGAGTCCAATATTTTATTTTTTTTGAGATAATAATTTGGAGTATTGGTTAGTAGAAGGCAGTAGAAAAGAAAGAAACTAGCAATATATCGTTATCGTAGGATTGAATACTTCCAAATAATTTTTATTATTCTTGGATCGGTGAAAGAATCTGCACAAACAACAAAATGAACTAGCCGTTGCCAATATTATTTTATTTTACATATTTAATTGGGAGGATATGAGATTTTCAAAAGTAAAGATATTAGTTGGGATGATTTTATTCAACTACCACACAAAAATATGTTAGCAAAAAGTTAGAGCTGTTGCATGTTTGTGATTACTTTACACATGTCCAAATGGTTGACAGGTTTATTATTACAACTGCTCGATATCATATAATGTTACATGTTTTTATTTTCTAGGTTTGGACATTTATTTTTGGTTATAATCTAGATTTCATTTCATTAATGTAGTAGACCTACAAACTAACTAGATGGAGACGTTCATGCTATAAGTGAACCATGATATGAGCTTATTGAAGATATCTAAAAATATTACTCAAACGTATTTTACACTTTGTGAAACTGTTACAAAATATGATTAGAAATCGATCTCTAAACTAAAAGACGTACATTTTGTGTTTTGCAAGTCTGGAAAACAATAGAAACACATGAGTCAAATTAAGAAGGATCTCTTTCGTTTTGGCTGGCAGCTACGTGGCGCTTTCAAAGCAGCCCGACGTTGCGTTGCGCCTCTCATAATAAATCTTATCTCTTTCTTGAGATGCCTTTGGTCAAACGGTCAAGTATCAATCTTTACTTAATTCTTAATTCACCCATATAATCAAATCGTTAAATCAGTAATCTCACTGAAAAAGTGAAAAGTTACTAATTAATTTGTTTTTAGAACAAGCTAGCACGCGAGCTGCATGTGATTATTGCGTACATAATGCACTTTCATAACCGACAAATTGATAAATAAAAATCTATTATTTAGTCCCTCTATATATTATTACTCCAACGTATCATTATTTTCTTAACAATAATTCTCCACAATCAGTGTAAATTTGTAACTATCAACAAGACATACGCGTCGGAATAATATAAAGAAAATTGTGATCTAGGTAAGGAAATTTACAGCTCATTTTGATAAATAAAGCAAACTAAAAATATGTTTTCGGTGGAAAATAAAAAGTATAAAAAACTTGTCAACCATATGGCAGCCATTCTTTTTTTTGCTGTCATGCAGTACTATTATCATTATATCCATCCATTGGCTTTTATTTTCCTCTGTCAACTTTCTTTTTCCTTTTTTTTGTTCACCTAAATTATCTTCAATTTTAAGCTAATACTACTATATAAACTTATGAGTCGCCGACAAAAAGAAGATTAGAACTCTGTAATGAGGGATAAGGTATCTATAAACTCAGTGATTTAGCTAATGAAAAAATAATAGGTATGAAGAATGTTATTCGAATATATAATACTACTAAGCTAAAAGAAAGTTGATGGTTATTTAACTACTAAAAGAAATAATAAAGTTATTTGTGCATATATGCTAAATCAAAATGGCCTCTGTATATAAATCTTCACTTACATACAATTTTATTCACGACTATATAATATTTTTCACATTTGGCAAATTCACAGGCGCGTTGTGCGGCTTTATTTCTGGTAAAATAACACTAAATAATTGTCGAGAAATAATAAAATATAATTAAATAAGTAACCTAGAAATTATAGCCGTTCTCTTCTGTCTTTATCTCTCTGGGTCGTCTCTTTCCTTTATAGCTTCTAGTTTCTCCCACTTCATACTCCCCTTTTCCCGAATCTGATAATGTAAATTCACACAAAAGAAATTTAAACAAAACTGTTTAAAAACCAAACACTGATCCACATTGTTTCTTGCTCTGTTCAAGAAAAAGCAAAGAGATTGCAAGAAAGAAAGAAAGAAAGAAAGAAATGGATTTGTTCAAGATCCTGCTTGTTCTGTTCTTCGTGAACTTAGGTTTCTGCTTCGCTGCAGATCCATATTCTTTCTATAACTTCGAAGTCTCCTACATTACCGCTTCTCCACTTGGTGTTCCTCAACAGGTTTTCTTCTAGATCTTTGATTTATGCTACTGTTTCTTTGGATTCGAGGTTTTGAATTGTCTTAATCAAAGTTTGGTCCTTTTGGGTTTTGCTTACAGATTTATCCACATTTTGCAAAAGGGATTTCTCTTTTTCGAAAAACCCTTAATTCTTGAGATTTACTTTAGCTCAAGTGAGCTAAAGATCTATCTTTTGGTTTACTATTAACGGTAAAAAAATTTGAGCAATTTTGTCACATTTTGATAAAGCTTGTAGCTTTGTTTGTGGGTTTTCTTAAAAAACTTCAGATTTCTCAAAAGGTTCAATCTTTTTTGTATTGGCTTCAGGGCAATACTTAACATTCATGAACAAGAAACACACTCCACTTTTACTTTTCCTGAAAATTTCAGTTCTTTCTTTTAAAATTGTCAGAGGGTTTTGTTCTAGATTTGTCCAAAGTCGTTTACTCAACTCCCACATGAATGACTGACAAAAAGTTTCAGTCTTTTAACTTCAGAGATCCATTTGTAGAAGTGGTGAAACAGTAGATCTAACACACAATTAGGGTTATAACTTCTAAAAACAAGCTTAACTTTTCATTTAATTCTGTAATCAGGTCATTGCTATAAATGGAAAGTTCCCTGGTCCTACAATCAATGTAACGACCAATGAAAATCTGGTCGTTAATGTCAGAAACAAATTAGACGAGGGACTTCTTCTTCACTGGTAAGAGAAGAATCACAAAAGTTTCTTCTTTTAATCTCAAGAAACTTCTATCAACTCTGTTTTGAAATTTATAAAAATATGTTCTTGATTTGTCACACAGGTCTGGAATCCAACAGAGGCGTGTGTCTTGGCAAGACGGTCTTGCAGGAACAAACTGTCCAATCCCACCAAAGTGGAATTGGACTTATGAGTTCCAAGTGAAAGACCAAATCGGAAGTTTCTTCTATTTCCCATCTCTCCATTTCCAAAGAGCTTCCGGTGGCTTTGGCTCCTTCATTGTGAACCCTAGAGCCATTATTCCAGTCCCTTTCTCTACTCCAGAAGGTGACATCACCATCGCCATTGGTGATTGGTACACAAGAAACCACACGGTTAGTACAAATTCAAGAAATCAAAAAATTACTTTTTTAGAAAGTTTCTTTCCAACATTTTGATAAGATTGTTTTGGAAAAATGTTAGGCTTTGAGGAAGGCTTTAGATGATGGTAAAGATCTTGGAATGCCTGATGGAGTCCTCATCAACGGCAAAGGACCTTTCCAATACAATCAAACTCTTGTTCCTGATGGAATCGATTACGAAACAATCACTGTACATCCTGGTGAGTGAATCATTAGCTCTGTTCTTGATCAAAGACTCTGTTTTTTTAACGGATTTTTCATTCTCTTTGTGACAATTACCAGGAAAGACTTACAGAATCCGAGTGTCGAATGTTGGAATCTCGACGAGTTTAAACTTTAGGATTCAAGGCCACAACTTGGTTCTTGCGGAATCTGAAGGATCTTACACTGTTCAACAAAACTACACAAGTTTGGATATTCATGTTGGACAGTCTTACTCCTTCTTGGTTACTATGGATCAGAACGCAAGCTCTGACTACTACATTGTTGCAAGCGCTCGTGTTGTTAACGAAACCATTTGGAGAAGAGTCACTGGAGTTGGAATCTTGCACTATACCAACTCTAAAGGTAAAGCTAAAGGTCACTTACCTCCTGGTCCACAAGACGAATTCGACAAAACTTTCTCCATGAATCAAGCAAGATCCATCAGGTTTGTGATCCAAACAACATCAAGAACCAATATTTTTCTTTGTAGCTTCATAAAGTTTAAACCTTTTCTTGTTCTTGTGATCCTAACAATCAGTTGCATCAAGAATCAATCTTTTCTTTGTGTTTTCATAAAGTTTAAACCTTTTCTTGTTCTTGTTGTTGTTTGTTGGTTGCAGATGGAATGTTTCAGCGAGTGGAGCGCGTCCTAACCCGCAAGGCTCGTTTAAGTACGGTTCGATCAATGTAACGGATGTCTACGTGCTGAGGAATATGCCTCCTGTGATGATCAAAGGGAAGAGAAGGACGACGCTTAGTGGTGTCTCGTTTGTGAATCCTGCTACGCCGATAAGACTAGCTGATAAGCATCATGTGAAAGGAGTGTATACGCTTGATTTCCCAAAGAGACCTTTAACCGGACCGCCTAGAGCAGGGACTTCGATTATCAATGGCACTTACCGCGGATTCATGGAAGTCATTCTTCAGAACAATGACACTAAGATGCAGAGCTATCACATGAGTGGCTACGCCTTCTTTGCCGTTGGGTGAGTTAGTTAGTTAGTTCAGTTTCTTCTTCCTCTTATTGATATCTTGCTTCTTGGCATTGTAAAGAAACTGATTCTTGAGTGAGTTAGTTAGTTAGTTACTTACTTAGTTCAGTTTCTTCTTCCTCTTTTGGATATCTTGATTCTTGGCATTGTAATGACTTATTCTTGAAAAACGTTTTGGTTGCAGAATGGATTATGGAGAGTGGACTGAGAACAGTAGAGGAACTTACAACAAGTGGGACGGTATTGCACGTTCGACTATTCAGGTGTATCCAGGAGCATGGTCAGCGATCTTGATATCTTTGGACAATCCTGGAGCTTGGAATCTGAGAACGGAGAATCTTGATTCTTGGTATCTTGGACAAGAGACTTATGTGAGAGTTGTGAATCCAGACGAGAACAACAAAACTGAGTTTGGGGCGCCTGCAAATGTTCTTTACTGTGGTGCTCTAAGCAAACTACAAAAGTAAGGAAGAAACTTTCAAGAACTAAACACATTCTTGATTCTTTGTAAAGTTATGTTTTTGATTTTCATTTCTTGATTTTGTTTGTTGCTGTTTTAGGCCACAGAAGATTTCGTCGTCTGCATCGAGGAGCATTGGATTCACGAGTCTTTCGATGGTGGTGATGGCTTTGGTGGTGATGGTGCTTCTGCGTTGAAATGTAATTTGAGGGTTTGTTTTTTAGGGTTTTGTTGATATGGAACAAGAGTATGATGATGATGATGCCTTCTTCGTTACGTTTCCACAGTTCTTCTATTTTGGGGGTTGTTGGATTGATCTCTCTGACATGTTTTTCTCTTTGTATTTTTGGATTCGATCTGTTGTTTTATTCTTTTCCCGGGATTTGATTATTTGAGAAGAAGACCAAAAAAAAGTTAATTCATTTGAAATGTAGAAATTGTTCTAAGCTTTTGGTTATTACATTTTTCATTTCATACCAAATGTCACAGTTTTAACCAATTTGAATTTAGGCCATGTTGGTTGAATTTGAGTAATTAATTTGTTTCAAAATTTCAACAGTCAAACAAACAACTAAGATATCTTAGATAATTAGTTGACTTACATTGAAGAAATTGTGATTTACACAGATAATACCGGATCCAAAGAAGAAATTGTGCATCAAGTTTTTTAAATTTTATTATTGGTAAATTTATAGAAAGAATAAAAAAAAAGAAACAAAAGAAAATGGAAAAGAGGATAATGAGGTCCCAAAATGATGAAGAGTGAGGTGGAATAATAGTTAGTTATCTTTGTGTTGGATTTCAGCTTTTGTCTCTCTGACAATTCCAGCTGGATCCTTTCTGTATTTTTTGCTTTCCTTTTCTATCTTTGTCCTTGCTTTTTCTATTTTCTCTCTTTTTTGCCATTTTTGAAAAAGAACAACAAAAAAAACAATTTCCTCTGCTGAAAGTGATAATTGATAGATTTCTTGTGATTTTTGTAAATGACGAAAAAAGAAAACATGCAACCAATATATAATCTGACAAATACTGACTCCAAGACAATGATAAATATTGTTGTACTCTGAAAATTTGTAGGTTGGTTACATATATAATTAAAAAAAAAAAATCTATTGTTCTCAGTTTTATTTTTAGTTTAAAACTTGAAATATACATTAGGTTTCTCCTTTTGAACATGGTTGCATATATGTTGAATATATGAACAATCATCGACAATACTCATGTTTGTAAAATTTGTATTTATAGCACACGTTCTGAAGCTTAGAGTTCAAAGTGTATCTTATATATTTAAGATATTATACTTCAAAAATTGCTACTATCACTTATACTTCAACTCGTAAAAGATTACACTAACACATAATACAACTCATGTCCCAATCCTACCATCATCTAGCATCAGATTTTAAGTATTAATGGGCCTTTAATGAGCCCAAATATGTACTTAAATAGCATCAGACTTAAGTATTAATGGGCTTTTAATGAGCCCAAATCTGTACTTAATCTTAATTTTTTTAAAGATAAATAAAAAAGACTGGAGCAACAAAACATTAAGATCCGTGATTAGTGGATTAACACAAAATTAATAGAACTTGGAAAATGCCAAATATTTATTTAATTTGTATTGTCCTCTTGCCCACAAACAAATTTGGCGCTGACTTTCTTTAGCTGTTCTTATTTGTACTATTTGTTCTCCAATTCTTTACTAGCGCCTTGAGTTCGGCTCGAGTCGCCTTCATCACGTTGTTACTTATAACTCTCTCCGTTCGTATATTTTCGAATATAGTTGGTGCTGCTACAAATAATTGTAAGTCTTGTAATAGCTTTAGCGCGCAAGCTACTTGTCGGCTTAACACAATTGGATAATACTCCCTCCATTTTTTTAAGAAGGATTTTCTAGACATTAGTTGTTGTTTCACAAAGATAAATTTTCTACTTTTTTGATACACTTTTTCAGTTTTCAAGAAACAATGATTGTATTTGTTAGATTTTTATTGGTTGAAAATTATAAAAAGTTGTTTTATTGCAGAAATCAATACACTAATGATTGAAAATCTGTTTTTCCTTAATATGTGTGAAAATCCTAGAAAATTTATCAAAAAAAACGGAGAGAGTATGAATTAAATGGTCAAAAATGGTAATTGGGTAATTATTTTATATATAAAATATCAGTTGTATGGTGTCATGTCACATGTGTATAATCATGGATTTACATGATCGAATAGTGTGCTTAAAGATCTTTATTCCCTCTGTTGAGGAGTAAGCTGAGAAAAATATTAACATATGATTGTAAGTCATATCATTATTTGTCAGTATATCTATTTATGTATTTACTTGTTAAAGATAAACATTAATGTAATTTTGTATTGTCTAATTTTTAAGAGACTAGAAAATAATCCATTAGAATCCAATAGTTTTCAAAAGATTTATATATATCAAATATATGCATAATCATTTCTAGTTAAATTATTTTCATGCAGTCAGTAGAAAGATACTTAAGTGTTAATTTGATCAGGAACTTATATACGATGTTACATTAGAAAAATGATTAGGGTCCGATTGGTAACGTTATAAATAGTGATGTGTTATAGAATTTTCAGTGGTACGAAAGATAGTGGTACGAAAAACAGTGGTACGAAATATAGCAGTATAAATAGAGATAGTACAAAATAATAGTACGTAACTAAATTCCGATTGGTAACATTGTAACATTATGAATAGAGTATTTTATTATAAAAAATAGAAATCAATTTATAAACATATGTTAAATGACTAAAAATAAAAAATAACTTAAATACTGAAATTCATATATAGTCTAAAAATATAATATAAAGTATTTTACCTTTTTTGTTTACCAACACATTTACTTAGTAAAAAATAGTAAATAATAGTTACAAACTTTTTTTGAAGAAAAGTTATTTTATATTTCAAGAAAAATGTGATAATTTGTATTGTTTGAAAACTTTTTTACCTTCTTAATTACTTGTCAAGAGATAAATGAATTATTATATCCAAAGTTTTTTTCTTCCAATTATTTGTTTATAAACTATGAGATTTGTTATTGAGATTCAATAAAACATTTTCTATTTTGTAAGTATGTTAGATTTTATAGGACTACTAAAATTAGTATTACAATAGTTTATGTAAAATTATTCTGAAGTATTCATTGGTCCAAGTGTGGAGAATTTCATTAAATTTAAGTTAACAAAGTCATATTAATGCATAAAAAACCACATCACATCATGATAAACTTTAGTAAAAAAAAACAATGTTTTGTACCACTCTTATTTTTTCTGTAATACCACTAAAAGTAGCTTTACAATTGTACCATTGTTTTGACCTTTGTAACATCACTATTTTGTTGTAATGCTACTTTTTTTGTAACATGCTTTTTGTACTATCACATATGTAATACTCATTTGATTGGTAACACATCAAGCATTATAATTTGTACTATCTTCATTTATGGTTACCAATCAAAGCCTATAACTTAAGTTATAATCATTTTCACAGCATATACGATGTTACATTAGATAAATCTTACAAAATATATCGGTCTTACATATTAGATTCTCATATGATGTCATATGTGTGAATAGGGTTCAAATATTCATACTTTATAGAATATAAAATTTAAATAACATCTGAAGATAAGAACAAATGACGGATGTGGCTCAATATTAGGTAAACAGAAGTACATAAAATTGTGAGTTTCTATCCTTCCCTTCCATAAAGGCTCCGAATTTCTTTCTTCTTTTTCCTTTTTCTGTATCCAACTAAGTTAACACGTTTTCAATTGTTCTATTAAAATGTAAATCGTGGCAATTGAAGCATCTTTTTCTTTTGAAATAGAGTTGATGGAGAAAAGAGAAGAATATCTAGAAGTGTGTTTGACGAAAAAACCAAAATATAAAAAAACGTCTTGTTTATAGTAATGCCTTGGCCACTCCTCATTCTCTATGCATAAAATATTTACGCTTTTCACAAGTAATAGCTAGTAACATCGAATGTGACACGTTCTGACTTTTAAAATCGTTTTTCTTCTTCTTTGTGTTCGAAGAACTGAGAGAATGAGCTTAAAACATGAAACATAATATATTAATATTGTTTGTGTCACTCAGTAAACTTGTTTGGGTTAGTAAAAAAGAGAAGATTTGTTTAGATCATCACATATCCATAATGTTAATTGGTAAACTCAGCCAAGTTTTAGCGGTTGTGTCTTTGTGGTAGGATAGTCGATAGAATGAAAAATTAACAAAGGTTAGAGAGAGCTGAAAATATGGGAAAAGAACGCAGCTGTGTGCTAACGATGTTTTCTATTTTGAGCCAAGACTTAATGCTCTAGCAGATTTAACAAACTTTCTTTCTTTCTACAATTTGCAAAGATTTTTAATCTCACAAAAAGAAAATAAATTGTATGGATACTTGTTTACACGACGTAAAGTTAAACATACCAATCACATCATTTATTTATACACGTTTAATAAGTTCAACAAAATATTGTAGTTAAAAATTTCTATAGACAACTCATATCAATATATGAAATAACTGGGAAATTCTAAAACGAAATCTAAAGACTAAAGTTCAACAGTTTGAAAGACTTAAAAATCTTCCGAACATGTAGAGAAGTCGGATATTATTATCATTTAAAGCATATATAATATCTAGTCTTGATCATAATCACAATGGAATGATTCCAACTCTAGTATTAGTTCACCTAAGAAAAAATGAAAGAAATGTTAACCCACTTCTCCGGTATTTAGAAAACAAAATCTCAATAATGGCTGAATGAGTTTACAAAGCATATGGGATGCCACCATTTCCTAATTTTTTACAAAACATCATACGCATGTTTTTAGAAATAACTTTCATGTATCTTTTTACATTTTAAAACTCCAAAACTAAAGTGTCTAAAAGAGCAATTATGTATATTCAAAAATATAAAAATTATGAAACACAATAATTCACAAACAGAACGAAGAAGCAGTTTCAGTGAATCGGGGCATGTTACAAAGATCGCACGCGCCCTGTCGACTGCCGACCATATCCTACTCTGTGTCCCTCCCACACAGTTGCATGCCTTTTGTCTTCATCAACCTCTCTTTATTTTATTTTTTCAATTCAAGCTTTCATTTGTTTATAATCTAAATCTCCATATCTGAACTATATCTCAAAATAACATTTATTTATTAATGTACTGTTCCAATTTGTCTTATCAAAACCATTATTAATTAATTATGACTTGTGATGATTATCAAAGCAAACAAATCTTAAAAGTAGTTACTAAGTTATACATAGATCGATACACATACATATGCTATGCATTATTCAAAAGAAACGACATACAGTATATTATCAAATCTAATCATCCTAGATGGTTACAACAAGAAACATGTCATTTGCACCAAACGATACGAAACACAATCAAGATTATTCAAACGTTTTTTTAGCAAAAAAGTGATTATATAAATGTGATGATTAAATATGAAAATAGTGGAATGATGAAACAACCAAAACATTAGATCAAAATAATCATCACATGCTAAAAAATTGATTTTAGTAGCCGATAAACTTAAAAAAAGTGGAAACTGATGAATGATGTCAATAGCCAAAAGAAAAGAAAAGATAACAACGTAGTCATGAAAATGTAAAAACCTAGCTAGTATATCATAATGGTTAATTCATCACTTCAGTTTTTCTCATTAGTTAATTTCAAACATTTTACTTGTACAATACATACATTTTTGTTTCTCATAATTACGTCGATAGGGTCAAGAAAAAGCTTGAAGAAAATGAATGCTCTGTTTCGTAAAATTTGAAAAGAAGAGATTTTCTTACTAAAAAAAAAAAAAATGGAATTAGGAAAACTATCCATCAAAACACAACTGCACATCTAAATTCGCACGGACACACAACGGTCACACCTCAAAGGAGCCTATAAAAGAGTTTGCTTCTTTCTCATTCCCAAAGCAGTCTTCTTCTTCAACTCTACAACAAAACAAAAAAGAGAGCTAAATCCAGTTTTCTCATAAATCTATTCTCTCGATCAAACCCATTTCTCGAAATTTGAATGTTAACAGACCCACTTCAAAAATTCCTCCAAAAAGGATAAACCTTTCCCGTTTTTAAAATAAAAAATCCGATCAAACAAGCATGAAGAGAATCAGAGGTTTCAAAATTGGACACAGATTCGTCAAAATCTTCAAATGGATCCGACCCAGAAGAATCCAATCAGGGAAACGCCAATGCCCGACCCGAATCACAAACCCGGTCGCCGGAATCCGCTCATTAGCACGGTGTTTGAGCCGTGGAGCCAAGAGACTGTGCGGTGGCAAGAAGAATTCGGGTCAGGGTCAGACCCGACAGGGTAAGGATCAAAAGACGCGGGTTGTTCCGAAGGGACATTTGGTAGTTCACGTCGGCGAATCCGACGGCGACACACGGCGAGTTGTGGTGCCGGTGATATACTTTAACCACCCATTGTTCGGAGAATTGTTGGAGCAAGCGGAGCGGGTTCATGGGTTTGATCAACCGGGTCGGATCACGATTCCGTGTCGGGTTTCTGATTTTGAGAAGGTTCAGTTGAGGATCGCCGCATGGGATCAGTGCCGCAGGAAAAGAACTTACAAAATTCTTTAGTCAAAAGTTAAAAAGTCAAAAATCAAACAGGTGAAAAATGGACAATAGATGAATTTTTGTGAATATTATTTAGCTTTACTTGTATGTTATACACTTATACGGTATACTGATTCATAATTCAAAGAATTATTTGTATGAATTTAAATTTCAAAGATGATAGCACAACAAAAAAAACAGAATAAATTATTGGATCATGTGTGTGCTTTTTACATTTACTGAAAAAATGAAATAATTAAAATTGTAAGAATATGACAAAAAGCTTGAGTAGCTCAGCTGGTTAGAGCGTGTGGCTGTTAACCACAAGGTCAGAGGTTCAATCCCTCTCTTAAGCGTTTTTGTTTTTCTTTTTCCCACGGCTACTACGAAGAACGAACATTCTCGACTTCCAAATTTTTTTTTTTCGAAATTTCCAGAACTGTCTCGTCTTCTCCACAAAACACTAACCCATTTCAATTCCTCTCTCTCTTTTAAATTTTCACCATTTTCGCAATGTCAGACAATTCGACCCAAACGATTATCGTCTAACGCAATTCAATCACTAACGCAATTTCGTCTTCTCTTCATATTCGATTCTGTCATCAATGGCGGAAGAAGCAAAAGCCAAAGGAAACGCCGCCTTCTCCTCCGGCGATTACGCCGCCGCAATTACTCACTTCACGGAAGCGATCGACCTCGCGCCGACCAACCACGTCCTCTACTCGAACCGATCCGCCGCTTACGCTTCTCTCCACCGCTACACAGAAGCTTTATCCGACGCTAAGAAGACTGTGGAGCTAAAACCCGACTGGTCTAAAGGCTACAGCCGATTAGGCGCGGCGTATTTAGGATTGTCTCAGTTTAAAGAAGCGACGGATGCGTATAAGAGAGGATTAGAGATCGATCCGAGCAACGAAACGCTCAAATCGGGATTAGCCGACGCGTCGAGACCTCGCGAATCGGCTTCGAATCCGTTCGTCGATGCGTTTCAAGGACCGGAGATGTGGGCGAAACTGACGGCGGATCCTGGGACTAGGGTTTATTTGCAGCAGCCTGATTTCGTCAAGACGATGCAGGAGATTCAGAAGAACCCTAATAATCTGAATCTGTATATGAAGGATAAGAGAGTGATGCAGGCGTTAGGGGTTTTGTTGAATGTTAAGCTTGGCGGATCGAAGGGAGAAGAAGATACGGAGATGCGGGAGGCTGATTCGTCTTCACCGGAGAGAAAAGGGCCTGAGGTTGTGAAGAAGCGTGAACGGGAGCCGGAGCCAGAGCCGGAGCCTATGGAGATGACGGAGGAGGATAGGGAGAAGAAGGAGAGGAAGGAGAAGGCACAGAAGGAGAAAGAGCAAGGCAACGCTGCGTACAAGAAGAAGGATTTCGAGAAAGCTATTCAACATTATACCAAGGCGATGGAGCTAGATGATGAAGACATTTCTTATATAACTAATCGTGCTGCTGTATATCTTGAGATGGGAAAGGTATTTGCTTTAACCTCTTAATAAGTTGTTCTGTGTTCTTGCTGAATAATAGGCTTTTGGTTTAGTGTTGTAGTTGGCTTAAAGCTCGTAAATTTAGAGGAAGAAGGAAATCTTGGGATAACCTTTGATGAGTTTTGAGAGCTTGGATCTACTTTTCGTGGATGATTAATAGTTTTGGACTTCATTGTTCACTTGTTCTGAAGAGTTAGTGTTATTTATTGTTACTTCGCTTTCGTCAACGTCTTAGTGATCCTGGTGATTCAAATTCATTGGTTTATTAGTTCCTGTATAAGTGATGTTATGATCACATAATTGGTTCGTCTTGATTGTTTTGTGTAAGCTTTGGTTGCCTTTTTTCTGAAATGCGAATTCTTTGAATCAAATAATAGTATGTGGAGTGCATTGAAGACTGTGACAAGGCTGTGGAAAGAGGCAGAGAGCTTCGTTCTGACTTCAAGATGATAGCGAGAGCTCTAACCAGGAAAGGATCTGCTTTGGCGAAAATGGCGAAATGCTCGAAAGACTTTGAGCCTGCGATCGAGACTTTCCAGAAAGCTCTTACAGAGTACCGTAATCCGGATACGTTGAAGAAACTGAACGATGCTGAGAAAGCCAGGAAAGAGCTAGAGCAACAAGAGTACTTTGATCCTAAGATAGCTGAGGAGGAACGCGAGAAAGGTATTAACCGATCCTTTGTTACAATTACAATCTTGCAACGCGATTTAACATTTGACACTCCTCCATTGATGCAGGTAATGAGTTCTTTAAAGAGCAGAAGTATCCAGAGGCAGTGAAGCATTACTCGGAAGCAATAAAAAGAAACCCGAGTGACGTGAAGGTAAGAGCGGTTCTGTTTCATTTTGAGCTAACCACATAGTTTTGTGAGTATTGAAAATCTAAGCGATTTTGGTGTGTAGGCGTACAGTAACAGAGCTGCTTGTTACACGAAGCTAGGAGCATTACCAGAGGGACTAAAAGACGCTGAAAAATGCATTGAGCTAGACTCGAGTTTCACGAAAGGATACAGCAGGAAAGGAGCTATACAGTTCTTCATGAAGGAATACGATAAAGCCATGGAGACTTATCAAGAAGGGCTGAAGCATGATGCTAAGAACCAAGAGTTGCTTGACGGCGTTAGAAGGTTTTGCTTCTCCTCTTTTACTGTTGATAAAAAGGTTTGTAATTTGGTTCGGTTTTAGTGAAAAAGTGTTCTGCTTTGGTATCTTTCAGATGTGTGGAACAGATAAACAAAATGAACCGTGGTGATCTGACGCCGGAGGAGTTGAAGGAGAGGCAAGCAAAGGCAATGCAAGATCCAGAAGTCCAGAACATATTGTCTGATCCAGTGATGAGACAGGTAGAGAAATTGTGTCTGAAATTTTGAATTTTTTGAGCTCACAAGCTGTTGTTTTGAGGATTGTGTGATGATGTGTTTTTAATGGATTTTGCAGGTACTGGTGGATCTTCAAGAGAATCCTAAAGCTGCACAGGAGCATATGAAGAATCCAATGGTGATGAACAAGATTCAGAAGCTGGTTAGTTCCGGTATTGTTCAGGTCCGGTGATTGCCAAAACCTTAACCGGAGTCAAAAGCTAAAGTGTGTCCGATTTTTTTACCGTGTTGTTTCGGTGTTTGGTTAAACTGAAATTCTGATTTGGTTTTGGGTCATGTTCGGTGAGTTTATTATGGAATGAAATGAAATCAAGTTTGTGTTCTTTGTAGTTTTCTCCTGCTTTTATATTTTACTCCTTCGAATCTTTTCTAGAGAATCTTCTCGTTGCGTTTTTACTTTAAAGCTAAAAGCTGTAAATCTTGTTTCTCTTATAACCACTTTATTCTGGTTAACTTTGCCCAGAGGAACATTATTGTGTGCCCTCTCTATTCTTTTGAAGTCTTTTAGGCCTTCACGTGCATTGCACGCTGTGCTGACTTGGAATTTGTACGAATCTGTCTAAGACTACTTTAGGGCGTCGTTCAACGAGACATAATTCGGAATGTTTTGTAGAAAGTACATCACGGTTGGCAATAAGGGAAATGATTAAAATTAGGAGTGTTGAGGATCTTGAGGTTGGAGACGGCTTAAATTTGGTATTTATTGGGGTTTGATCACGATTTGGTAAGTGATAATGACATTTTCCTAATAAACACTATTTGGTGGATCACAACAAGTCCACAACACAGCACAAATATGCTTAATGGGAAGTAAGCGTATAATTTTTAACAAATCAATGATAGTTTAATTCATTACAATGCTTTCCAGGAAACAAGGTTACATCTAACTGCATGTTTTCGTAAATGTGGCAATAATCTAATTTTTGCTCCCGCCCCCTTGTACGGTTATACCTAATTTGTGGGTTCACGACCACTCTCCACCGTTCCCTCTTGTGTTGTGAAAGTAAATAACTTGAAGCTTTGTTTAAAATAATTAAAAGAGCACTTCATGTTTCAACAAGTGATAAGATCTTCCCACCTGCTCCCAAGCTGCCAAAAGTAGTGTAGGTCACGTGGAAAGAAGTAATGCATTATCATCACTGATAGATTATTCAAATTTTGTGAATGCTCAACTTTTTTGTATGGTTCTATTTGTATATTATTTGTGAATATCAACTCATTTGTTTATAGAACACACATTGGGTTATTCGACGTGGTCCAAAATGGTGAAGTTTAATCGTTGTTTAAAAGTTTAATAATATATAATCCCTTGGCATATTATGTTTGTCTTCCGAGCTGATAGACTTTAGGCTTATCCTAATTGCTAGGTTTTGAATGTTTTTATATACCTATTTTCTGCGATGTGGTTCAAGATGCTTGAATAAATATGAAAATCAAAACAGTATTTTGGAAAAAGTACTTTAGATATCCAACAAACAAATAACCAAACATTTTTCCATAAACCCGATAAACATTATCGTTATATCTACTCAAAAAGTCAAAGCCATGACAAAACCATAAACATCACAAGACTGCACATTACAAACGATCATAAAGAAGCAAGCAACACTAGGAAGACAAAAAAAAAAAAAGATTAATTTAAGGACACGAATTTTTTAATTTATTAGCCGAAACTATGACTTATGCCGAGCCGCGAACCGGTTTACAAGAGCCAATGCATTACTAGTAACTCGAGCCACATGAACCACTCGTCTTCTAATAGCCGATTTCACCTTACCGTCCATAACCTTTCCATCGAACCCATCAAGACACGTTGTCTCATCAGTTAAAGCAGCACTAACCCAAGTCTCAACGTTACTTAGCCGCCATAAAAACTCATCCTGACCACGACCGGATCGACCAACTTGTTTCATCTCCCTCATCGACTGAGCCAACATCGCTAAACCATCTCCAAGAGTCTCCACGCAGTCTTTCACGGCTAAGTACTCTCTCCGTTTGATGCTTCTCGCTTTAGTCAGCTTTGCTACGTACACCGTCGTGGAACGGACCCGGACTAGAGTAACGGCTAAAGCGGTTTGAGCTAGCCGGTTTTCGTTGTGGCGGATCTTGTTGGCGAAAGCCGCGAGGCATTTAACGCAAAGAGTTGGATAACGCGTGGTACGGCACGAAGATTCAATGAAGTTGATGCTGTAGCTAGTGTTTGGTGATGATGGAGGTTTGGCTATGGCGTATTGGGAGAGTAGTGGAAGAAAAAGTATAAGGCAATAGCAAAGATGGGTTAGATTTGGTTCCATTGGTGTAAGTGGGCCTATTTCAATTAGAAGGCATATGTGTGTGGTCTTATTTATAGCAGAATTTCATTTATCGATATTTTAATAGATAATAATTAGATAATGTTTACAAATTGCTCCAAGGACGAGCTAAAGGCATATTTTTGTTGAAGATCTTGGTTAAGTTTAGTTACGGTTGAAAAGAAAACTACAATTTTTTTTTGGTTTTCTCCAAATATATATATACATAATATATATATTTAACGCTTTAGTGTTGAAAGTTTCTATTTCCCTTCTGGTTTGTGTTAAACTTAATGTAATTATAAAAACAAACAACACTATTGTAACCAGATTGATTTCTATTTTTTAAATCAAAATTTCCGCTTACTCGGTGATTCATTTCGTATATGTTTACGTTTCTTAAGGTCTTATTCTTTGTAACTATAGGTTATCATATTGGTAACACTAGCACTAATCTACATTGGTATCCAAAGTATGTCTCAAGTTTGTATAAGTCTAGTTTTGGAATAAAAATTTAAAATATTGTCCATTGTAAAGAATTCCCCTATACACTGTATATTGTCATATTTTGTAGATTAGTGTCTATATATATATATATATTTTTTTTGAACATCAGATTAGTGTCTATCTTTCTACTATAGAAATATGTAAAAGGGGATAGGGTGGTCACATGTCTTCTTTTTGGTCCTTTAGTAGCTTTTGCATGTTTTACCATCTTTCCATATTAGTACGCATTAATTTATTTGAATGCCAGCTTTATTATTTCAGACAAGAAATCTTATGCTGTTTCCAAGATCCATTTTCTTAAAGTAAATACTTCCATAGTTCCGTGAATATATGTTTTAATGTCAAACTTGTCCGAGTTTATAAATTGTTAGCTACTTAGAATTTTTATTTAAAGTAACATTTGGACGTTTATAATTACTTCACTATAGCTAAATTCAAAGTAACAAAAAATTGTCTGTTTCTTGTCGTCCTTTTGGTTATCTTCTTCTTCGTTTGCCTCCTTCGGTCATCTTTAACATAAGTACTCGTCCATAAACCTTTCTTGCTCAGCAATCACCGGATAGGATTTGATGAAGAAATCATTAGAGGGCTCTTTGAACTTCCAATCACAAAGGAGAGTCCGTTCTCTAACAAACACAGTCGACATAGATTTTACTTTATTCCTAAGTCAACCAAATACAAATGCAATTTACTTTTTGATACTTCACATATATTGCGCATATAGTGCTCTATTAGTTGCGCACATAAATTTAGTTAACGGCATGGATGAGAATAAATAAGAAAGTATAATAAATGACAAACGCATTTAAAACGCATGAGAAGTCAGACTTTCACAAACTTATGAACTTTTAGCGCATTCCTTTTTTAATACTCCTTTCATTTCATATTAGTTATTGTTCTGAAAAAATATATAGACAATATATATGAATGTATTTTAACTTTTGAGTGTAATACATCCAGATATATTTTCTAAAAAATGACAACTAACAATCTAATATGAAACGGAGGGAGTACTAAAAAGGGAATATACCAAAAGAAAATAAAGAATGTGAAAGAGAGATAATTCTCAAAATCCTTTAATTTGTGCTCTGAAAAATATGTTTTATAGAGCCAAAATTTAGAATAAAAAATCTTACAGCACAAAAATTTACAGTCACGGCAAAAAAATTTACAGCCTAAATTCTACAGCAAAAAATAGGCATGAGACTATAACTCAAAGCCCAAATCCGAACCAGACCCGAAAAATCTGAACCGAACCCGATTTGAAATTTTAAAAACCGTTTGGTTCGGGTTCGGATTTGGGCTGATAAACCTTGATCAATATAACATTTAGCATACTTATAATCCAAATAATTTTTTTTCATTAAGTTCATATATATTTATAAATATCCATAGATCTAACATCAATTATACACAAGCTCAAATCATTGACGAAAAAAATATTATACATTTGCGCAATTAATCAACCAAATTTCATTTACATTATAAAGAGCTTGAGCAAGCATAGTAGTGAAAAAAAACAACAAATAATATATAAAACATAGTTAAGTATATAGTGATAAACCTTGATTAATATAACATTTAGCATACTTATAATCTAATGTAATCAGTTCTCTCAAATTGTAATCTTAATTTTCAGATCACCAATAAAAGAAAATATGATTCATAATTAACTAATATTGAACAAATCTACAACTCTAAATTGAGAATTTTGTATCCACTGAATAAATTGTAATATTAATACTTGAAATGAATTTAACCTAAGAATTTGATTTTGAATCGAGTTTTAACTTCGAAATCTGACTATAGAACCTGAGAAAAATTAAGGCAAGCCTTAATAATAAGAGAAAAGGTTAAATCGACAAAACTTGACTCATGTTATGTTCGTCATCCATACATGATTCTCAACTTTCCCGATCTAATTCATTTCATATGATTGTCCCAACTTCGAACATAACATGAGTCAAGTTTGTCGATTTAACGTTTTCTCATGTTATGTTCGAAGTTGGGACAATCACATGAAATGAATTAGATCAGGAAAATTGAGAATCATGGATGGACGACGAACATAACATGAGTCAAGTTTTGTCGATTTAACCTTTTCTCTTATTATTAAGGCTTGCCTTAATTTTTCTCAGTATCTATGGTCGGATCTCAGTTAAAATTTTCGATTCAAAATCAAATTCTTAGATAATTCATTTCAAGTATTAATATTACAATTGATCAGTGGATACGAAAGTCTCAATTTAGAGTTGTAGATTTGTTCAATATTAGTTAATTATGAATCATATTTTCTTTTATTGGTGATCTGAAAATTAAGATTACAATTTGGGAGAACTGATTACATTAGATTGGATTATAGGTATGCTAAATGTTATATTGATCAAGGTTTATCACTATATACTTAACTATGTTATATATATTTTTTGTTTTTTTTTTCACTACTATGTTTGCTCAAGCTCTTTATAATGTAATGAAATTTGGTTGATTAATTGCAGAAATGTATAATGTTTTTCCGTCAATGATTTGAGCTTGTGCATAATTGATGTTAGATCTATGGATATTTATAAATATATATGAACTTAATGAAACAAATTATAAAATCATATTGTTCGTTTATGCTCTCTATGAAATCTATGCCAAAATGACATCTATTAGAGACTAATTCATTTCCATCACAAAACCCGTTTTCTCTCTCCGCCTTTACGATTAGGTCTATTCGCCTTTGAGGTCTCCATTATTTTTTTTCCATCTAGCTTATACGGCATCTGGCGTTCCTTGCTGGCAACATGAGAGAGAGACTCCTTACTTTTGTTTCTAGGTTGTGTATGATTTGAGCTTGTGTATAATTGATGTTAGATCTATGGATATTTATAAATATATATGAACTTAATGAAACAAATTATAATATCATATTGTTCGTTTATGCTCTCTATGAAATCTATGCCAAAATGACATCTATTAGAGACTAATTCATTTCCATCACAAAACCCGTTTTCTCTCTCCGCCTTTACGGTTAGGTCTATCCGCCTTTGAGGTCTCCATGAGAGAGAGCCTTCTTACTATTGTTTCTAGCTTTTCTGTTTTCTTATGGTTTTTGGCAAGCTCTTATGAGGGTTTCGTCTGGTGGAAAGAGTTTATGGTGGCTACTAGAGTTGGACATGCTCGGATCTAAGATGTTGTGAACAATGAGATATCCTATCTATTAGATCTAAGGTGTTGTGAACAATGTTCTTATGAGGGTCGTTTATCTTTAGATGAAAATCAAAAAGAGACAAATTCATTTCATGTCTCTCTTTTCTTATATGTGAAGTCTCTTTCAAAATTTTGTTTGGCTTTAGTCTTTAAATTGATTTATAAATTAAAATATATTCTGCGTAAGTCATGGTTTAAAGTCAAAAGAGAATTTACTTGATGGAGCAGAAATGAGAGCTTTCTTGGTTTCCAGCCCTTTGTTGTTGACATGTTCATTTGTCCTGTTGACGATTAGGATAAAAAAAAAAACAATTAAGTTGTGAGAGGTCGATAGGACATGGAATACACAAAGCTACGAGATTAAAAAGTGTTTCAATTTGAAAGTGATCATCCAAGGGGATCGCAGTTGTGAGAATGCATCTGAACAATATATAGATGATTATACTTTTTTTCTACATAAGATAACCCTAATTGTTGCAAAGTGGACGTTATAATCTTTAAGGCAATCATTGGTTAACAACTCCATTAATTAAGATACGTGGGAACACCCACAAAATCATCTAACTTTTCTGATTCCATCTAGATCCGGTACTTAAAAGACAATAACTTCGTTAGAGAGAGAGAGAGAGAGAGAGAGAGAGAGAGAGAGAGAGAGAGACCTTAATTCGGTGAAGAGAGAGAGCCACAAGTCGACCAAAATGCTAGAATCAAGGAGAAGATATGCCTTGTTATCACAGGAGAAAGAAAACAAAATGAGATCTAAAGCGAGAGAGAGAGATGGAAGATAAGATTTCCTCATCACTCATTTTGGAGTAGGCGGACCTTTGTGACAAGCTTACACTATTTTTATATATATATATATATATATATATATATATGACAGATTAGGGCGAACTCCAAGTTTTTTTTGTTGGTTTTCTTTTACATTATCTTAAACCATACCAAGCCAAACTAATTTGTTTGGTTTCTCATGTGGTTCCAAGAGCCCTATATCGAAAATAACCAAAACCAATAATAACCGGTCCAAACCAAACTCATTACCATGATAATTAATCCACAACCAGGAACCCGTCTCCGACCAGATTCTGGTGATTCCAATCTAACTACCTGGTTCTGATGTCTTCCGTTCTATACATCGCCATCTTCTCTTTAACTATAATCTTTGTGGCTCTTGTTGTTGCAATAAGAAATATACCTCATTATTTTGTGGAACATGTTGTTAGCTACCGCTACGTCTCCTTTGACTTATGTGTTCGTTGATCTGATTGTAATGATCTGCGACTCTTGATATGAGTTTCGAG